CTGTTGTAACGCAATTGTAACTATCGTATCGTACACTCTCAGTCATCATTCGTTTCCTGAAATGATTTACATCAGTTTACCCCTGAAGATAGCACTTAACGAGGCGTTTTAGCCAATAATTTTGGCGAATTTTAAAAAATAATTAACAAGACATTAAGATCTTAAATTCATGGATTATATTAAGAATAGTGTTATTGGGGAATGCATTTATTTTCATCATATTCCAAAATTAAAGAAATATGCATATTCTAGATATTATTGCCTCATTTATTTTGCCAAAATTTTAATTTTTTTAAAAAATTACTTTTTGAGATATCCTTGTCCGAAAATTATATGGGGGTGCTGTAATCACCTTAATAAAACCATATTAAAATTAAGTGTGTCGATAGAGGTGAGATTAGCGTACTTACTGGTTATGCGGAAGGAGGTTCAAAACTGATTCAAGACTATTTGAATGAAATTTTTGTTTCAAGTTATTTTATTTTATAAATTAGTAAAATTAATAAATTATTTTTAAAATAGTTAATTTATCTTAATGGCCTAAATTAATTTTTAAAATTTGTACATTTTCATTAGTTGGTCTTAGAACAAATATACTGTACAACTCGAGTGGATTGTCTGTATCGCACTCAGATGACTGAGCACTCCGACTACTCTGTCGTGCTCAAACCTCGTCTTCGTAGGTAACGCTCCTTTCACACGTGCCCGATACCGAATATACGATGCCCGATACCCGGCAATGGGGTCTATTCTGTAACAATTCCTTTATATTTAACGGCCTTTAAAAATATTGGCTGCCTATAAAAATATGTTCGTATTCGTTAATTTACTTCTGTCATTATTTAAACAGATTTCTTTAAGATAGTCCTCTAATGTATTTTAAAGATCCGTTTAATTAATGACAGAAGTAAAGAAGAAAATATTTTTAAAGGCCGTTAAATATAAAGGAATTGTTACAGAATAGACCCCATTGTTAGAGAGTTAAAGCAACGCTAGATACGTATGCGTATCGCTCTGACTTAAACGTAAAAATTGACGATACGTTAAACGAGCAATCTGGACGTAAACGTATCTACAACTTTATAACCTTAGGTACTTTTTGAGAAAAGTAGATAATCATATTGAGTAAATTATAAATTTGAGGGCTTTATATGGTGCTGTATATTACAAATTCTACATAATAAAGAAAATTTGGAAAATAGTGATGTTTTATATAGGAAATTCAATTTTATTATTCGACAACAAATGATCGAGTATCAATGTCGGGTAATTTTTACTAATTCATTTTTTTCAATGAACTTTCTAGGAATAAATGTGATGTGTATGTTATATATGAAAATCGTTTCGTATTATGGCTCAAAATTTAAAAAACAACAATATAAAGTTACAATCTGTTATTAGTTTTATTAAATCGGGTGCGATCGGAAGCGCCCGAAGCATTTGCTCGGCTCGATACGAATGCGTATTAGGCGTACGTAAGTACACGTATGTTTACGTAAGACGTAAATAGATACGTGGGGAAAATAGCTATTGCGCATGCGTAGCTGTCATTATATACGTTTACGTTTCTGGCATTGCTTTAACTCTCTAATGTTGTATTCAGACGTACGACGTAGTGCCGAATCTTAGAGTCGAGTTGGCAGTATATTTTTACTATGGAAATTATAAGTTCTTCGATGTATATAGGCACACGTGACATTTTCACTGATGCACCTCTACTTTCCATGTTTCAAGAGTGATCGACTTTCGTCCAGCCTAAAGACACACAAATTATTACCGGCGTAATCAGGCAATTGTAACTATTTATAGGCTAGAAATAATTATACTAGTCAGTAGTAAGATCCCAAATCATAATTCTACAAAATTTCAATATCTATTCACAATTTATTAAAATATTTACGCGAAATTGTTATTAGTATCTATAAAATAATTTCTACGTTGTTTCGCGTTAACTTCGGTTAGCTCCGCGGTAAATCTGTCAAATCCTATGTATGAAGTGGGAGAACTGCGAAAAGCCTTTCCAACTTCTGTCCCTGTTCTAATACTTTGTATCAGCTCCTGGTCTAAATATAAGAACGTGTCAATCAAGGGCTGCTTCAGGTGGGGCTATGGGGGCCATGGTCGCCCGAGATGAAAATTCTTACAATCTGTGACCCTTTTATTTAAAAAATATGCTAAAAGGGAAATTGGCCCCCTTCGAAAATTCAGTCTGAAGTGGGCCCTTGTCAACTCTATTTAAAACTATAGTATGGACAAAGAGTATACGTACGGAACACTAATGCACAAGTACGAGTTGCACTGAGTTTTTATTCTACAAATACATTTAATGCAGTTTGTTTACCTGATATTTTGGAATTTATGCTGTACCTAGGAAAATGTTCGGACACTCTGTAGACAGTTTAAACTATTTTCAATTAATTTTTATTACGGTTATAAAATTAAATGCAATTAAATACAATTGAGTCTGGGAATTGTGAGAAAAAATATTTTAATTTTTATATTTTACATAGGTAGTTTAAAAATATATGTACATTGGAATAATATAACAGTATATGTTCATGGTACCTCTAGGATTCAGCTGTAGGGACGAGCTTTCTTCAACGAGCCTAATTTTTTTGACATTTAAACAATTATACATTCGCGAAAATTAAAAATAGTTATTTGTGTACCATCGCCGTAAATGGCGTTGATCTTTTTTGGCCGAATCAGAAATTTGCGGCCGAGGTCTAGTTGAAGCCATGGACCTATTCTGGTTAGACACATTTTTTTAGGCGACTGTCTCATCAAGTAAATCCTACTTTTTTACATACTTGTGTCTGAAAAGAGACAAATGCAAAAATAGTTTCAAAATTTGATTGTTTTAGGATTACTGTACTGAAATAATCATGTCTTTCATTCTCTAATTTTACTACACGGACGTAAGTCTTTCTTTCTCTAATATTACTATAGACTTTCACAACTTTCGGCGCATTCTTAAATGGTATTCTGGTACGGTAACGCCATCCTAATTTTATACTTTTTTTAGGGCGACTGTTTGTTACACAGATATAGTTCTTTTTACCTCTACCCTCAATAATTCAGTTTATGTGGAAAGTAAGCCAGCCATTCAATGCGCATTAATACTTTTGAAGCATCGAGATAGAAATGCACTAGAAATGAGACGCTATAAGCGAGTTCGGATAGTCAGGGCAGAGACAACTTATTCCTACCTTTAAAAAATCGATAATCACATAAAAACTTTTACCCCCTCCCCAATAAACACAGTTAATTGGCAGCGTAACTGGACCGAAGGAGGCTTGTCGGATCCCAGACTCGGCCCGATATACGGATGCAGCTTCGGCATATAGGTAGGGCATGTACGCCGAGCCGAATGTCGGCAGCAGCCCACTACATTATAGCCGCGTTCATATATCTATATATAGTGTTCGAATTCTTTGAACCACTCGAGTAATAAAACATTTCATTGTAAATAATTAATCTCGCATTATAAAAGGTTCTTCGTCTTTGTGTTTCAAATTCCGACTGGAGTACAGTTAGAGTAATTCCTAGTACTACAAATCCTTGAAAAATGTTACAAAATTACATTTCTCTGAAAAGTAACATGTGCTTTGAAAGTGAGATGGCTTTCTCTGTCCATCGAGGAGGTATTTGTAAACGTCTCGAAGGGTAGTTGGTTTCAGACTTCAGTTCTGAAGAGTCGTTCTTAGTTATTTCTGTAAATAGTATGATAAGGGTTTAATGTAAATTCATTATAAAGGTTTCTTAACGCCGTAAAGTTAAGATGGTCCTTCGAGGTATTAGAATTTTTAAAGTTTAATCCGGTGTTTTCATTCCTATAAATATTGTTTCTCTCAAAACGAACCAGTTAATAAACAACGGAAGATACAGGGTGATGTGGTCGTGAATTGGTACTTTCGAATTTCAAGAATCTACGCCCCTTCATATAGTTCGGCCCGTAAGGATGCCTCCCATGCCCAGTTAGCCAAATATTCACCGCGTTCGGCCCGTGTCTAGAAAGCCAAATATGAACTATATGCGGTTTCTACTTCTAAATTACGTCAAATGGTACAGTCCTCCTGGCCCAGAAGCAACTCCGAGTACTCGGCTTCCCGTACATGCCGGTGTCAAGCCGAGCGAATGCCGACTATTTGTGGTTTACTGAGTTGTTTCCCCCTTTTTTTCTTCAATGTGAAAATCCAAAAACCCTGAAATACGTCATTATTTATCTATGATGAGTAGCTCCAATTCTAATTTTCAAGTTCCTTACTTTAAAAAACCCATACTCCCATACAAACTTTCTAGACCAGTTGTTTTGGCTGTGCGTCGATAGATCAGTCAGTCAGCTAATCAATAGGGACAAACAATTGTATATATTATATAAATTCGAAAGATCGAGATCGTGGGCCGTCCTTATCTCATGTCGTTACATAGTTGCCAAAGTATTATTATTTCTATCGGAGTCTACCTACAAACTGTAGCTCAAAGAAATTCGAGGGAATATGATGTTCTTAAATCAAAGGAAATTTACAGTTTGCTTTTAAAGGTATACAATCTTGAAAATAACAGAAATATGACAGTTAACCTCAATTTTTATTTACCGTTTTATATAATTGATTACTAAACGACTATTTATCTAAAATATTATCTACTTACTTTAGGAATATATTTTTAGACCTAAAATTACTCAAATCAAATAATAATAGTTCAAAAACTAGATATTTAATCTATAAACAAATTTGTTTGGCTAATTTTTTTACGTGATCACTAATACTAATGCACCATATAGTGCAAAACATTTGACTTGTATATTATACATCATCGGTCTCACAGAGATAAGTAAGTAACTTCCTTTAGTATTACTTTAAATACTGTCATAAACATAGTTTTAGTTTTGACAAACGCTCGGATGGAAAAGTAGGTGAACGGGATGTTTAGTTTTATGGTTAGGTTTTTTTAACATCCAGAGAAGGATGTTTTTTATTTATAAAAAAAAAGCGTAATTATAACTTACAACAAATAATAATTAACAACGAAAATATATAAAAAAATATTTTTATAAATATTAACCGGAAGAATCTTTAACCAATCTATTCAAGCCGTACTTCTGCAATTGGCCGCTATAGTATGAATTGAAGTCCAACCTGAAAATCGAAAAAGAAAAAAATTAATTTACTGAAAAGTAACCTGAAGTAATCTCACCACAGTTTGAGGGTTTGGTCAGGCTGTTGAGGTAACAAAGGGCGATATTTTAAGGACATAGGAGCGACCATCAATTGAAGGACATAGGGCAAGGATTCTATTAACAAACAATGTGGTATATAGGAAACTACTATCAAATTTATTCAAATGCATATTAATTTATTATAGTTTGAAAAAATTTGAATCATGGATATTTTAATAACATTTAATTAAAATATAGACTAATAATTGTTGTGTCCTTATTTCTGTAAAAATGTGCAATGATATATTTTGTCTTACCTGTACAATAAATTGAAAAGTCTCTCGTGTTCACTGGTATCTCTGTTAAGTTCATTAATTTGGTCTAGTAACTGTATTAGAGTTCCAGAAAAAGAAATATCAAATGTTGCTATTTTTTCCTTAAAACTAAGAGTCGGTTCTGAAGGTTCAGTGGTTCCTTGAAAAACAAGTTCATTCTGAAAAAAAATTCAAAATTTTCAATAGAATATTGTTACCATTAAATAAAATTAATTAGATCGCACATGTCAATAATTATTGTCTAGAACGAACGAATGTGTATATTGTAAAATGACCAGTGAGTTATTTTTAACTTTCAACCAACCAATAGTGTAATGAGTACGAATGTAATGTATATTATATTTTGCACACCAATTTTTATCAAATGAAAGCATGCTTTTTAAACATCACAATATCAGTTCAGAAATATGTAAATGAAAGTGCAAATAAAACAAGAAACAATTAAATAAAGATATGTTAAAGATGTCTCAATATCTAATTATATATTTGCTGCAGCTTGAATTATGTTTTAAAGTGTTTTTATGACATGAAAAATTATCACAGATTTAATGTAGGGACAGAGTATGTGCAATGCACATGTGCTGCATAGATAAGGGTAATGTCTATTCTCTTTTATCTGCAATTTGGAGGTTGCGTTCATACAGAAGTTAACCTCATTATAAGAGCCACTTTACAGTTTGCAATTTTCCTTGCCTACAAGCAATAGCGGCAATTCGTATTGCACGTCCGCACACTAACGTCCTTTCGATCAGCTGTGGCAATTTTTCTTGCAATTGCAGAAAATAGCGACGGACTGAAAATGCATTACCAAAAGTCGAATTGCAGCTGCCAATCAGTTAAAAAATCCCTAGAGTATACATTCTTGGAATTTTACTTGTTTTGAGTTACGTTACGTAAACTAACTTACTGGAATATGGAAAAATGTATATTTTATATAATTATTTAAATTGTATTTTTTTCATGATTTACTTGGTATATTGGTGAACTTGTTTCCAAAGCTAAATTGTTGTGCCTGTTTCTTTATTTACGACTTAAAATACGGACAGCAATTTGAGGACCTTGCTGCAAGAAGGGGACGCTCCATTTTTATTATTTTAGGAATAAAAATTGGATCGATTGGTGCAAGAAACAGGCAGCTGCGACAATAAATGGCAAACATATTAAACTTTTTGCCTTTATAATAAGTGCAAAGCATACCTTCATTTTTAACTTTGGTGGAACAGCTCCAATTCTTATTTCATTTTTTCTCTTTCAAACAAAAATATATCACTAAGAAAAGTTGTAAGTTACATGTAAATATGTCACCCTGTGATTAGTATGTTTTATTTTTGTTAAAACAAGTAATTTTTATAAAAAGTTTTTTCTTATTTTCCAAAAGTTAACGAAAATAAAGCTGCGCCCTTATTGCAGCAAGGTCCTTAATTTCTTTTGAAGCAAGGAATATTGCCGCAATTTTATCTGCAGCACAAATTAAAAGACTTGAGTTAAAAAATATTAAAAAAGCACGCACCATTTTGCAATCAATCAAATCTTTGTGTTGAGACCTCTTTAAATGATTTTTATTTTACAGTGATTGAGAATGAACAGATTATACCTAAATGATTAGACTAATTTTTAAATTAATAAATACAGAACACTTTTTCATTCCGTTTTGTTATGAATGTCATTTAAACCTATGGAAAACTATAATAGGTTTTATAGGTCAAAATAACCCATTTGGTTTCAGTTAAAGTGTTGTACCAATTTTATAATGTAGTTGAACCTAGATCCGTTAAAAATTAACATTTAAAACTAACAGTAACTATCTGACTACCTTATCTAAATACGAAAAGTGGTATGACGCTTTTTTTTGTCCTCTATAGTTAAGTACAGAGGAGAGACGTGCACACGTTGTACAATGTCCTGGCGGTGAGACCTCTGAAATTCAAAGTATTTCGCAGACGTCGAGAACAATAAAAATTGTCTTTGTCGGCATTTTCTGTCGTCCTATTTTGTTTCTTCCGGTATACGAATTTCGGCCACAAGACCAGATATTTACTTAATTCAACAAAATTCGGAATATATTTTTTCTGAATCTAAGATGCGGGCATTTTTTGTCTTTAAAAGGGTTGACATGCAAAAAAACGATTTTACAACCTAACCAAAAGTACTGTTTTTTGAAATGGTGTAAAATTGGTACCAAAAGTCAAAAAGATCGCTATTAAATTGTTTGTTTCATAAGAATCGCCCTTGTGAGCATTTTATATTCAATATTTACCACATTGATAATAAATTTTGACTTTTTTTAAAGAAAACTCTGGATAAATAAAATGGGGTAAAACTACTGAATAAAATTTGCCGTAAGGACAATACTCTTACTTGAGAGTCATACATAATAAACCTCTTTTCGACTTTTGGTTCCGATTTTATACCTATTTTAAAAGCAAGCCTCTTTTCTTCGCTAGATTGCAAAATCCTTTTTTAACAGACTTCAAAAAAGGAAGAGGTTCTCAATTCGTCGGAATATATTTTTTTTATATGTTCAGCGATAATTCTTTACTACGTTGTTCGATTTTCATGATTTTTTGTTAGAAAGGCGGTACCTAGGGGGTGGTCCCATATAATTTGGTCAAGATCTAATGGGGTCCATAAGAAAATCATCAAACTCTTCATTGTTTATGTACTTTTATTGATAACACCGGCACATAAACAAAAAGTCATCAGTACAGTTTACTAGACCCACCTAGGGTTATGTATTTCGATGCGCTGAATCCAAATTTGAGGTCCATTTAGCTCGTGTACCCTCAAAATTTTGAGTAAATTGTTAAAAACCGATAAAAATGGCAAAAAATCGCGAAAATTACAATTTACACAAAATTTTGAGGGTGTTCGGGCTAAATGGACCTTAAATTCGGATTCAGCGCATCGAAAAACATAACAACCCTAGGTGGGTCTAGTCAAATATACTGACTACTTTTTTTTGTGTGCCGGTGTAATTTTTTACCACAAAGTCCAATTTCTATGATTCTTTTTTGTTAGAAAGGGGATACTTCAAGGATAGTTCTATACACAATTGGTCAGGATCTGATGATCTATGAGAAAATAGAAAATCTAGTTTTAAGGGCATCTGCACAATTTTGAATACGGTTTTTTAAAATTACTTTTATAACTTGTTGTATATCAACCCTTTCGCAGACTTAAAAAATATGTGCAATATCTTAGGTCAGAAAATCCGCATTCAAAATAAAAAAAAGGTAAATATTTGGTCACGTGGTTGGAAGCCCTACACAGAAAATAGCAAAACCGGGAGACAGAAAATGACTGCAGACATTTTTTTATTGTTCTAGACGTCTGGAAGCATATATTTAATCCATCGATGCGAAACTTTACTTTGAATTTCACAGTTCACATAAGCGCTCCCACCGCCGGGACAAATTACAACTTGTTTATCCTCCTTCCCTTCACCTGCACCCCACTACAAAGCGACGTGCCACTTTCTTCAGTCAATTGAGGGACTAATAGGTATGAAGGTAATTGTGACAAGTTGAAATAAAAATAACATGATCCTGTGCAAAGTTAATTAAACGGTCACAAAACAGTAAAAAAAGCAAGCTAAAAACTCAAATTAAAAACAGGCAATGCCAAGCTTGCATATTAAAAATACCTGTGTATTAGATTCGTACATAGAATTAGGCAATGAGCCCAATTCTGCCTCCACAAAATATCGCTGCATCTGCTGTTAATGGTGCAAAAAAAATAAAGAAAAAAATATTAGTTTTTCAAATTCAACGCGGGTTTGCTTTCAAAAATAACAAGCAATTTAACTGTAATGACAAACTAAGGGTGAGACTAAAGTGTAATAACATTTCTAATTATATAAAAATTCTGAGCACGGCATGTCATAAGAGTCCGTTCCGTTAGAGAAAAGTATTAAGATGTCATAGATAACGACAGTCGCAGAAACCAAATTTTGACTTGTTTATCTAGCAACGCTTAGCAACGATAACCTCAGTAGCACGCCGCTATTGATAATTCATTTAAAAGAGGTAAGCGGTCATTTTTTTTAATCTGTATTTGAAGTTTTCTTTAAATTGCAAGATGGATCATATGACACTTCATTGAAAAGTTAATTTTATGGTGAATTCAGAAGTGTTTAAATTTCATAACAATTTTGAATTTAAACATAACATTTTGCCCCTGTTCAACTCATTTGTGTTTAAACCCACGCATTTAAGAAATGCACATTTTGTATCCTACAAATCTCATCTTTCTCTAGGTACAGTTCAAGTTAAATATATTTTCTTCAAAACTTGATAAAATTCTCGACCCAAATTCAAACTGCATTCCGCTATATATGTTATCTCTTGTATCGCAATATTTCTCTTTCCCACTCAATAGAGCTAAACAATGTTAGATAAATTACATTCGATGACGTAAGATCGCCAGTTAAACACGCCCTCCACACACAAGAACTGACAAGTTCCCCATCATCACCTATAACGATACAATAATTTTTTCTTGTACCCTCACTCCGCTCCGTTCAACAGTAAAGATGCCTCGAGGGTCGTCCTACATTTTCGTTATAACTTATAACACACTCCAGTTTTAAGCTTTGACCAGTAAAGAAGCCCCGGAGTCGGATTACATCTGGTTACACACACTCCATCGCCATACTTCTAACAGTCGACATTTCATTAAATAAACAGTGTGCCGTTCGTCAGTGATTTATGGACAACGGTTTCCCCTCTCAAGATGTAATTAACAGCAGAATTAATCTGCAAGTTAACAAAAAGTTACTTTTGATTTTAGCGCCCTCTGACGGGATAAAAACTTTTACGTATTGTAAAATGTGATACTTCATTTGAAAGTTAATTTTATTAGTAATTCAATGCACTTGATGACATTATGTTAACTAAATAAAAAAAAACTAAAATTAAAGAAGATTGCGTTATTAATAATTTTATTTTGTTGCAATATGGGGATATTTAGGTTAATGTTATGTGGTGTATTGGATTACTAATAAAATTAGATCTCAAATGAAGTGCCACACTTTACAATAGGTAACAGTTTTTTATCTTGTTAGAGGGCACAAAAAACAAGAAATTAACAGTAATATTGCTGAATTCGCCATAAAATTACCTTTTACTACGACCACTTAGAAAAGTGAGCCACATCGCACTATTTAGTATTATAGGAAGTTGCCTATAACACACTCGTGTGCATTATTTTTATTTTGTGTTGCTTGCTTACTCTAGGATTCATTTTATGACACGCATAAATATTTGTTAGTAAGTATATCTTAAAAATAACTTTCAAGACCATCGATTAGAATACTCAAATCGCAAATTAATGGCTCATACACGGTTTTATTTATATTTACAAACAAAAAAATATAATTATCTAATTTAAAAAAAATAAATAACTGGTGAGGATTGAACTTACGACCATCAGGTTCAAAGACAAACGCGCTAGGCTCTACACCAACAAGACATTAAATATGAGTGTTAAAAACAGGCTAATTTATTTTTAATATTGTAATTATCATTTAAATATTAAGGAAAATGAGTTTGAGTATTAAATGTTCAACTAAAAGATTCAGATTAGTCTACATTTTCCTTTACAATACCTATTAGCTTTATGACAACCTTTCTAATGAAATTTTCTAATGAAAATAGGCGTGTGCAAAAAGTAACTTTCCGCCTATATGCGGCAATAATGTCAAACTATGACAATTCATGGAAAACGTCAACTTTTCAGTTAGATTTGAATGTGCAAAAGCCTACTTTGGATAGTGATCGTAGAAAAAGTTATTGTTCATGGTTATTTATCTTATTATTTGTAAATGTAATCACAAGAGTTTTAATTTTGATAAAACACCATCCGTAAAACACTTCAAAAAAAATTATTTAATAAAAAAAAAAACTAAAACCAGTCACATCTTGGTTGAACCTCCATAGCTAGGTTTTAGATTTTTTGATGAAATTCTTTTGTGATAATATTATACGTTACTTACGTAAAAGTGATTGTTGCACTCAGTTTATACCTCGTGAGACAATATTTTCCACTCAGGTGAAAAATGTCACACTTCACACTTGTAATATACTATTCCGATGAAATGCCATACGACTCATAGTGCTATTTAAAACATTGGGTGTGTGGCTGTCAACTCAAGGGGGTTCATAAGTATACAGACATTTTCATAGTCAGATACTCAGATGAGTTTAAAAATCGACGGATTCCAGCGTTTCTCTCTACTCTTTAAAATAAACTACATAGTTGACAAGGGAGTAAGCCTTAATCTAATTTAATGATAAAAGTAAAAATTATCCATAGCCAAAGCAGACAAATATAAAAAATGTTTTATTGAAATTCCTTTAAAAAAGCATCAGTAGGCAGAATAAAAAAGTACATCGTTTACAATATACAATAGAACTCCGGTTAACCAAGGTCCGGATTAACCGAGCCGACCAGATATTCTGATTATCCGAGGTATGGGCGTCATTGCTCCTTATTAACAAGGCTCAAAGAATGTTTACTTAAAAACGTTGGGGAACTCCTGGCCAGTCTCACCCGTGTGGGGTCTTGCTTTATGACGAACAACACCAGAAGCATCCGCAGTGAATCTACTGCTTCTTAACCTTGCCTAATCGAGGTTATACTGTAATTGAATTTGTATATGTAGTCTCAGATTTTTTAATACTTGAGATGTTCAAATTTGAAATTGTTTTTGAATTCCAAACCAATTACTTCACACTTTAAGTAGGTATGATAGTTTGTTGAACTAGTTCACCGACTAGAATCCAAAAATTATAATATGGATGGTATTTTATGTATAATAATAAAGTTGGTAAGTACCTAATTTGAAATTGATAATTTCTTTATTAAATAAAACATATTAACAAAATTGTCTAATCACATTTACAATATAGTGCTGACTATGATGACACATTCGCTTATACCATGAGACGCAACCCGTACTTTTCTCTAATGAAACAGACTACAGTATTCTAAACTAATCATTATTTTAAATAACCCATGAGAAATTGTTTAAAATTATTTAACATTTTTCAGAATTTTGTTTTCTATGTATAAGTAACTAAATTAGGAAACATAATAAGGCAATAGGCTGCAGTGTTATCTGAGTTAGGTGAGCTCAGAGAAAAAAATAAATTATGATTTAAAGCCCACTAGTACTGAAGTCGCGCCACTATCAGTTTTTATCTCATACTCTTAATATATTCAATTATAGTTCTGATGAACAATTTCTTGAGTTTCTGGATATTGTTCATCAAATTACCAGTACCGTTCCCATCTAAACTTCCGGTACAGCCATAATAAGAAATCTAGTTGAACGAGTTTAGAGTTATTTTCTGTCAGGGTTTAGAAGCTCGTTTTGTATTTTGAACCATGTTAGCTTTTTGGTTAGGAGGTCTACTTACTTGTTCCTCCAAGACTCAAAGTCCAGGCACTCACTCAAAAGTAACCTTATTATGATTAGTCAAGGATTTGTCATTGTATTTCTAGCACATTGTGCTGTAAGGTTAGTCTGGCTATCTGTCATGTTGCATTCTTTTACTCCTAAAAGAATTGATGACAGAATTTAAGGATAGACATTTATTGCTTTGGCTTCAACTAGAAAGACATTGGGCATAGGGTTAGAATAATACCAATTCCTGATCATGGTAAATGTCTATTGTTTCAAACCATTTGTATACCAGACTGATTCACTTTGATATGTAAGGGTTTCAAAGAGTTGCGAATGACAAAAAAACCTGGAATTATTAGCGACATATTTTCTTTTGTAGTTTTAACAATTAAGGTGTTCTTTTCTCGCAATTTATTTGTGAACAACCTATATGTAGCTGCCTAACAGTAGCTCCATTGCTGATTCTGCTTTTATATTCAAATAAGAGCCAGTTTTTCTTCATTTTCAGCAAGATTTTGGTCTGATTTCCTTGGGCAACCATACAAAAATAAACATATAAAAAGATTCGAAAAAAATATATAAACAAATATACATATTTTAAGTGGTTTAGCATTAGCAAGGTGATCTGTAACTGCCATTCTGAGATAAAATAACTGCCACAAAGAGAAACTTAAATAAGAACAATACTGATTGCTTTAATTTCATCCAAAATGTTTCATAACATAAAACCAAAACAGTTAGTAATTTCCACCTTTTATGAAACAATCTATCTAATTCTAGTTCTTAGATTTGTCATTTTCTATCAAAGCAAACTTGTGAAGCCACAACTTTAATAATTTGATTGTATTTAAAATAGTACATTTCTCTTACCTGCATAAATTTACAAAAATCTTCACATATAGTCAGCAATTTGTTTATTGTACTTAATATGGGCGGTATAGTTAACATGCAATCCTTAAGACAGCTATCTAAGAAATCGCAATGACAAGATAGAATCTCGTCAACATTTTGAACCTAAAATCATAACGTGTTAATGGATGAATACTTGTTACCCCCAACTTTGAAATCAGTGATATTTTACTTGGAAAACGAACCCGGAATTATTTAATTTCTAATTTGTTCAATTGGTTTTCTCTTAAATAATTACAATTACCTTTCCAATTTTATTTAAAAATGTACACCAGTGAGGTTCAATAACCTCCACCATCATGTGATATTCCAAATTTTGTATACAATGTAACATCCTCTGTCTCAACGCAAAAGCAGCTCTGTAATGTTGTGCATCATCAAATTGGAATTTCTTAGCCACTTTATTTGATTTCCATACTTGACAGATCATTCTCTCAATGTATTTGCAATAAAACAAATGACGGAAAATCATTTGATAACAAGCTAAAGATTTACGATTTAAGATAAGAGAAAGTGGCCAACGAACTTCATAGTTGAAAGAGAATGATTGAATCATTAGAAGTTTTTTCTGTTCAGCTGGTGACCAATATTCTGCAAATAACAAGATTTATAGATTAGAAAAATCACCAACAATTGATGAAATTTGAAACTGAGATGTTTACCTTGTTCAGAATTAGTTTGAATGCTGAGTATCTTAAACATCTGAAATTGTAAATCATACTGCAATAATTCAGTCCTTAAATCATCCTTATAAGGATCATTTATGGCACTACATAATCTTAACGCCAGATCCATAAGAGATTCGATGCAACCCTGGTTAACATCAAATGAGTATTTGACAAGTTCTTTCTCGCACAAAGTGAGAAAAGTGACAATGAAATCTCCTTGATCCAGGAGAAAATAGTGTTTAACCGATTTTAGTCTTCCAATGAGATCCTTTTCTATTATGACTAGATCCAAAAGAGTCTGACTGGCGAACATATAAGCTTTTTCTATTGCTTCAATGTAATGTTTTTCTTCTATTTTATATTGTATGGGCAGAACTTTGTTTTTTACCTGTTTACCTAAAAATTATAATTCTTAGTCTTATTACTATTTTCTGTATTTCTACTGGCTTGCATATATTTATGTAATATCTTACCACACTGTCGAATAACATTAAGGTATTTTCCAGCTTTAAGTATAATATCAGCGACAGGTTCTAGAAATTTCGGTATTCTCTCTCGGCGAACAGCATACTTCTTTTCCCAATAATCTGCTGAATAATCTACAGGCATATCCTCCCTTTGAATCACTTCATTATCTTCCACTAAAAACTAATATTCAACAATCAATAGACATAAAAAAAACTGGATTTACAAAGGTCTAAAATATGAAATATGTTAATTAAAACAAGAAAGTGTTTTCTTTTACATATTGAATTAAATAAAACTTTTATGGTATTTTAGTGAACAGTATGATCTATATTTAATAGGGATGGACGGTATTTGTAAAACGATATTTTGGATCCCAAACTACAAAAATACCCGTTATGCGTCCCACAAAACAATGCGTAAAATATAAACTGCTCAACACCCAATTCAGTCTCTCTCTCTCTCTAGGGATGGGTCAGTATTTAAATATCACGATTTTGGAGAGGTGTATGAATATGGCGACTTTGAAGCGGTATTTTAATGGAACCATTCTATTGCACTCAGTATTTCGTTTAAAAATGAAAATTATTCTTACTTAATTCGTAAATAATTACATAAATGCAGTCAAAAATGTACGTACCTAATTTAATTATATTTAAACACATTTAAGGGGAAATTAAACAAAGTATGATTTTTACAAAAAATTTAATATTAATATTGAAGAAAAACGAATGGAACAAAAAAATTATTATTAGGTACAAAATATATATTTAAAAAAGTATAAAATATATATTTTTTATCAAACTTAAAAATCAGGGCCACGTCGGCCATAACTGTTGCATCGTTTCGTTATCAAAACCAGTATTCAGTATCGAATACTGAATATATGTAATACCGACAAACGCAGGTTGCTGCTCGCTCCTCTGTGACTTAAAAGTTTCGGTTTTCCATCACGGTATTTTGGAGCGGTAGAGAAAGTAACACGACATAACAGTAGCCAGTATTCCCATCACTAATATTTGAAAGTAACAGTATTCATCAATGAGTTCTACTGTCATGAGCTGAGAAACCTTGGACCTTATTACAGAGAGACTAGAGAAATTAAGCTGAAAAATGATGATAAACTAACCTCACTTATTGGATCAGAAATTATCCCCTTGTATATCCACATTCCTAACATTTTCATATATGGTAAACAAGCTGCTTCCATTAACTTCAAACATAATTCTTGGGCTCTTTCATCTCCAATTGATCCAATAACATGGTCATGAAGTAAACTCAGTACTTTACCACCTTTTGCATCTGACTGTTAACAATTAAATATTGATGCATTAAAAGTATTAGTGTACACATTTATTTTTAAATAAATAACAAACTTATATATTTTGCCGTACCTTACTTATTGCACTGGCTATGTTTGCAACAATTCCCAAACTTTGCATATTTCTCTGAACAAAAAACCAAAGTTTTTGGAGAGTAAGATTTGCCATTCTAAATTCGCTCTCCAGTTGTATTATAAAAAGCTAAAAATAATATTCAAAAAATAAAATTTATGAGGTTTAATTTGTAATGGGGTATAATAATTTATGTAATAAAATTACCATATGATCTTTGATTATGCTTTTCATAGCCTCTGCAAGAGCGTTGTTAACTTGACCATATTCAAATCTCATCTTTTCTTCAGTGAATCTTTGTATAATTGAATAATGGCTGGCTAATGGTAATATCTGTTTGATAAGTTCCCTCAGTGATAAAGAAACATTGTCATTAATTCTGAATGTCCTTGGACCATATACATCTTTTAATTCTTCTGGTTCAATATAACATCCTGGTAAACCTAAAAAATATCTCTGCCTTTATATATTTTTTTCTGAGACATTTTTTTTTCCTGACACAATATAAATTATTGGTAGATTAAGTCCATATTTCACAGTTCCTAGTCTTGTCACATAAATTTTACATACTTAATTTGCCCCATCTATTTGTAAAAAATAATCTAACATGTATATTTGTATATCTGAATGTGTAAGGTTGCCTCATAGCACTTAGGCCTCACTAGGCTCATATGTATATAATAATCATAATAAATTTAAAGTAACATTTGTGTATATTCGTATAAATTATATAGTGCTGAAGTCAATGACTATAATACTGTTTCAATTTATGATATTAAACCATACTATTAGAATTATTTACCAATTAAGGCATTCAGTAAATCTTCTATTAATACATTCTCTTGTGATACTGAAGGTACTGTAGGAATTGTACGAGATGCAGTGGACAAAGAAAAATCCCATGTCATTGTTGGTCTTCTTTGCACCCAAGATGCTACTGAAGGAGTGCTTGCCAATGGAACAGTCGATGTATTTAATATATTTTTTAGGGAATCATCATGATGTGTTTTCTTTATTACAGCCTTCTTTAATTTATTCTTAATCTGAAGAAATATAACATATTTGTAATTGATTAGCATTCAAAAACTGTTTAATATTTACTTGTGGCAAATTATCTCTTGTGAGTTCAGGAACAGAAGCAGTTGATGGCCTATTGCTTTTTAACAAGAAATCTTTTAAGCTGGAATCTTGTGAAATATTATCTAGCAGTTGTACATAAGCATCTAATGAGTCGACACTAAAAATAATTTAATGTTGCATAGTCTTAATAAGTTGGTCCTACTTTATCACTTACTTTTTATCTTTGAGATCATTATATTTGGTTATAAATGCATTTGAGTCTGCTATATCTTGAGTTAAACGAGTTAGATGTTTCTGTTCGACAGAAAAACCTGCTGAATTTCCTGAGTGTTGATTTTCTTGTAGATATTCAATTAATCTATTTGGTGTAATTTTTCCTCTAAAATAACATTAAGTTCATATTAAATATGTATGCAAAAGGCAAATCAAGTTTTAACATTAAGAGATATAAAACAGTTATGCTACAATAATAAAGAAACAAAAAGTAATGGTTTATGTTTACAGGTGTCTGTAGTTTGTTCAACATAATGTATTATGATTCTATGATTCCTACCAACTACTTTTTGTGGTGTGGCACAAAAGAATGCAATAAAAAATGCTTGTATATAGTTAAATACAGAGTAGCATAATTTTACAGCTTGTAGTAATCATTATATTATGGGTTTAGGGTTTAACAACAATGTATATTTCCTTTAATTACTAGAAAAGTTTTGAAAAATACTTTGAAGGAATCTTTGGTTGTAGTGATGGGTAATTTCAGTACAGTTAGTTGTACTAGTACACTGTACAAAATTGTGCCTTACAGTATGAGCTGTACAATTGTACGTGACAGTGATGTCCATGGCAGTGCTACAATAACTATAATCGTACATATGTATTTAATTCACACAAACGAATCAACAACATTAATATGTTGCTGAACAAATTCTTGCAAAAAATGCAAAGTGTAATGCCTGTGTATTGTACATTTTGTATGACATGCACAAGTGCTTCCCATCTCTATTTGGTTGAACTATTTCTGTTATTCTATAATCTTTCAGATTGATGATATTTCTGAATCAATCATTGCATTTTAATTTTGATATTAGCTAGGGTTTTAGGAAGCTAGTGGCCAAGCTTGAATATTATTCCTCACAATACTAATGTTGATATTATAGCAGTTTTTCATAAACCCTTCAGAGACCATGATCAATTAACTACAATTTATATTAAATATAAGGTAGGTTGCTGGATAGATACAACCCTGGGCACATCTTCATGTAATTACTGTCCAATATTCATTTCTGAATGCATCAGTTCATATTTTAGGATTCTGAGATAACAAAAGTTTAGTACTTGACTATTGCTTAATTATTACCCCAGAGCATTAAGTAATTCCGAAACAATATGTTGTAATTTAAATTCACTCATATTTATTCCAGTTTATGATTATCATTTGTTCTAAACAGAATTTTAAACTTCGAACATAAACAAATTTAATTTTGACGTTAGTATCACTGTCAAAGTCAACAATAAACTGTTTTGTGGTTCTATAAAAGACAAACAATTTGGCCAACTGAAAAATCTCCAGTGTAGCATACAGGGCGAGTCATATGTGAAGTGTCTTGTAGCGCTCGAAGAAAATCCAATGTTTTCTTTATAATAAAGCTACTATATTGTTGCATCTCGCTAGGACGCTCCATTTTTAAGAGAAAAGCATTGGAAAATTTCATGATAAGTTGATGTTATCTTATTCGAAAATGTAAACAATAATTAGTAGGTTTCTGTGGAATCAGAGATTTTATTTTTTTTTAACTTTGAAAAACCGGTGACTAAAGAAATTTTAGAAAATATTTACAAAAATGTGCCATCAGGACTTCACTTCCCAGACAGCACACCAAATCCTTTGGATATCTACTGAACATGGACGTGGATATCTATTTTATATCCATGAGATGTAATTTATAGACATGCAAATGTCCATAAATAATAGTAATTATATAGAAAATTATTAAAAAAATTACGCCATTGTGGCTAATAGTACCGTTCAGATATTTAAAATTAATTTTTTTAAGGTGTATTCAATATCCCATGGTCATCCACTAAATAATCAAAGTCTAGGCGCGAACGCAAACCATCGTGGATATCCACTAGATGTAATTTTTGATTTTGCTTACTAAGTATAGATGGCGATACCACTTTCGCATCTACTCATGCTCAACCCGCCGTAATTGAGTTCGATCGAAATTTGTTTCCCAATCAGACTCCATTAGAGGCTGGAGTTGAGAATTTCCATTTATTGCTGAAGAGTCCTAATAACGATGACTTTCTCCTTAGTGGACAAACTCAAAGGCAGAGTGTTGAAAATATTTTTTATCTCTATTTTCTTTCGACATTATTCAATAATCATTGGTTACTTTTATGAACCCCTCTACTAAAGATACCAATAAAATATTTTGCTGAATATCCGAATTCTTCTATATCCTGGGATATAGACGGACATTTGGTTGGATATCCACAAAATATATTGTGTGGATATCTCTGCGATTTCTTTGTATTGTCTGGAAGATACTCATTAGATATTTTGCTGGATAATCCATGGAATATCTTCTATATTCTGGATATAGACGGACATTTGGATATCCATATTAGATCCACGGAATATTTCTGATATCCTGTGCATATTGGATATCCACAAAAGATATCCTGTGGATATCTCTGGGATTTGGTGTTGTCTGGGTTGTAACACCCTGACCCTGTATCTCGAAAACTAAACGTTTTCGAACCTATGTTTATATGAACTTTTACTCCTATTTTAGGATGTAGATTACGCTGTTAAAATATGACCGTCTAATTTCGGGACACCCTGTATATAAAATTGTTTGTCCTGACTTTCCCTTATTTTTGGTCCTGACTGACCTATCAGCGTACAGCCAAAACAACCCTTACCTATATGGCCAAAACTACTGGTACTGAGCCTAGAAAGTTGAAATTTGGAACATAGGTTTATTTTATAACGTAAGCATCCGCTAAGAAAGGATTTTTGGAAATTTTAACTTTAAAGGGGGGAAGTGGGAGGAAATGGGGAGGGAGCTTTTAATGAAACTGTTCTTTAAAGTTAGAAAGATGAAAATTTAAATTACAGCTACTAAGCATAAATAAATAATGATGTATTTCGGGGTTTTTGGATTTTCACATTTTAAGGGGGGGGGGGGGGGGAAACGGGGGGTGAAAGTTTGTATGGGACTATCGATTTGTTTTGCTCTCTTTGAAGTTAGATACATGAAAATTTTAATTACAGCTACTGACTACAAATTATTAATGACGTGTTATTTCAGGGTTTTTGGATTTTCACATTTTAAGGGAGGGAAATGGGGGGGTGAAAATGTATTTGAAAGTATCCATGTTTTTGGTTCTCTTTAAAGTTAGAAACATGAAAATTGGAATTGCAGCTACTGAGTACAAATTAATAATGATGTGTTTCAGGGTTTTTTTGGATTTTCACATATTAAGGGGGGGGACCAAGGATGAAAGTTTATTAGAAAGTATCGATTTTTTTAAAGGTAGAAACTTGAAAATAGGTCTTTTAGGGTGTTTGCATTTTCACATTTTAAGGGGGGAAACGGGGGGTGAAAATTTGTTTGAAAGTATGTATATATTTTTTTGTTTCTTAAAGTTAAAAACATGAAAATTTGAAATACAGCTACTGATCAAAAATAAATAATGATTTGTTTCATGGTTTTTGGATTTAACATTTTAAGGGGGGGAAATATAAAAATAAATCAAAATAATTAAAAATAAGTACTGGTATTATCGCGTCTTTTTTTAGGAAGTCATGCATTTTTTTATATTAAAAACACGACTCCACGTAATATATAAGCATTGAAAATTTGTACCAAAAAAAACCACAGCCACAAAAATGCGATCGAAAGTAATGGTTATCGTCCCTAAGAACATGCCAAGAATTGAGCAATCTTTGCAAGTTGATCCTTATACTTTTTGTGTGACTATATATATCATTGCTACCCATTTTAACAGCAACCTTCTAGATATGGTTGCCAACATTGCAGTGATGTTGACTAGAAGAAAAAATAATTTTGTTGATGAATATACAAGACTTTTTTGCTCTTCACTTATCAAATCATCCAGCTACTGATCCGAATGTCCTAGTGTCGCCCCCAGCTGCGTTTATTTCAGATAATTATTTTATGTTTTACATTTCATGGGACACATATGATTTATTAAAATAATTAGGGAATGACTACTTTGTGTTATCAGATAAAGAACTGATACAGAATTGATTAATTTGTATTATACCTGTGGAAAAACCGTATCAAAGCAATTGTACTTGCTTACAGTCAAGTTATTCTTGAAACTGTTTATGAAATTATGGCGTTTTCTATTGGAATGTTCAGTGCGTTCTGAGTGTATTCTCATTTTCTTATTTTCCTTGTCAATAAACAAGGACACAAATATACTCAGTGTGTACTGCCAGTTCCAATGGAAAACGTCTTTAGATTTAGGTATTTGTTTTAAGCAAAATATGAAGAGAACCTCATTGGGAAACATTTAAACGTATAGAGGGTACAAGTTTGGGAAAATAAAAAAAAAACACTTTAATAATTCAATATTTAATAACACTTTCAAATAATTTATAAAATTTATCACAATTATTTAAATAGTTAGGTAGGTATTTTATAAGGCACAAGGTAACAAATTGATATAAAAAATATTCTTTTTGGCAAATATTAGAATGTCAAAGTGAGTTTTCATAACAATTAAAATATAATATAAAGTAATTCAGAAAAAAAAAACAATAACAAAGGTCTTACCAATTTTTAACATTTTTGAAAAAATGGGTATGAAAGGTAAAAACCATATTGATTACTTAACTAACTTTTACTTTAGTTCTCTAGTAAGATCAATTTCTTTGAGAAATTTTTTCATACAAAATACTTATTATAAGCTAATATTTTTAATAAAACAATAATTTAAAACATAATTATAGTGGAATGTACTAATGATTAATGCACACGGACATAATCTGTATGGTGTAACCATATTTATTTAAACTTAAAAACTAAATTTATGATATGTATCCCCACTGCCTTTATGTATATAAAGTACCATATTCTAGTCTGCAAAAAAATTTGAATATGCCATTATTTAAACACTTATTTACATCTGTTGGCAAGTACTAAAATACTAAAAATTATTTTATTGTACATAACAAGAATAAAATTGTTTAATTGTTATTTAATATTACTCCATTACTTTGATTATCACATGGAAAAAATGGTGAAGCAGTAACTTGCACCCGTGTCCAAATGTCATGAAGCTGAAAAATAAATATTAATAATGAAAAATACACTTTCAAATTTATATTTTCTAACAAGTTAGTTTTAATTAAACAATAGATATGCTGAAGATATAATAAATAAAATATATTTATAAATATAACCAATTAGAATGAAGCTCATATATGTTAAATGAATACAAACATATTAGATAAAAAATATATACAGATCAAAGTGGGGTCATTTCAACCTCCGTGCGTTTTTTGTTTTTGTTTTTTAGAGCATATGCTGAAATATGCTCTTGTACCTAATATATAACCTAAAAATAAATAAATAAGAATGGTGGAAGTTGTCTCAATTGGTTAAGTAAACAACCAATATAAATTAACCATCAGGCAATCAGGTACAGCACATCCTTGTTGAGCTGCGACATACACATAGTTTCCGAGCATAAATTAATTCTAGCTTATTAGGTAAATAGGCTGATTTTCAAAGGCCGGTTGTTTAATAATAAATTACAGTAGAGTATTTTATTTTTGCAATTTAACAACCGTGTTTTTCGACGTTTGGTGTGCAGCTTGGATGCCTCTCTCTTTGTCACTTATATAGGTATAATAGTAATAAGGAAATATAATTGTAAAACATCGTAAAATAATTCTGGCCTACACTATAAATTCAACAGTTTTACGATTTAATAAAGCATTATTATAAGATAATCCAAAATTTCAATTGTAACTTACTTCGGAATGAGATTTAATCTGGAGATTCAATAAATTTCTCATAATACTAGATAATGTTTCCAAATATGCATAAACCAATTGAGTTTCCATATGTACACAATATAAGCTAAAATCTGCTCTTAATTCCATATTTGTTATAACACTTTCTTGAGTCAACATCTTTGATTCCAACTGCTCCACTTTTTCAGCCTATAAAAAATTAGTTAGCTTTATTATGAAGTTTGTAAAAAATGTGAATTTTTAACTCACATCAGTTCCTCTAATAACACCCTGAATCTTCCTTTTCTTCATATTAAGTAGTTTGGAAAGAGCAACGGCATGATCGTGATGAAGACCTTTCTCCAATCGATCACAGAGGTCTTTATGTGCTATGAGGATATCCAAAAGCAAACCTAATCTTTCACACACTTCATTTTGTTCTAAATAGGCATGATGATTTGATTTGCATGATAGTGATGCCATATCCCTAAAAATAGATAGTTGTTTTCGATTTTTAAAAATATATATTACTAACTATATTACCGAGCCATGACATTAAAACCTTTTTGCATGTCATTCCAATTTTCCAAATTATTCGGAGTATGTTCTACATGAAGTGTACTCAATGTTTTTAATTGATTCATAAATTCCTCAAAATCTCGCCCTGTTGCATTGTAACGCTCAACGTTTTCTTCAGTCAAATGCTTCAATTTACCAATTACATTCACCAAAGTTCTTATATTTTGAGAATTTACAGCGATTTGACTATATTCTGGTGGTAATAGGTTCTAAAAAAGGTCGATTTGAAAGTTATTTTAAGCTATATTTCTGTCATAATTTAAATATCAAAAATGCAGCGGAACAAAAATTTTTTTAAATATTAAAATATTTAGATGAATATAGAATGTTTCCAGATTTAACTCGACAATTATTATTGATAACATTTTTAAATTGTTGAAAAAAAGAAACTCAAAATCAATCATTTATTAGGAATCAGAAGGTAGGGAGACGCTATAAGCATCTTTTTCAAACATTCTATGGTATCACTGGTCGTGGCTTATGTAGACTCAATATGGCCGATCCGCCAGAACCAGACTATTGGGGATTTAACCCAAACCTACATTGTTTTTAGGAAGTGGAAGTTATATTTTTAATTGCTATAAAAGGGGCGATTAAGGTTTTAATAACTGATTTTTAACAAAATAAGTTTCATGGAATAAAAAGTGTGTGGAAGATTTTATGTTACATAGTATTTTATTAAATAATTACAAACTCTACAAATTTCATTTGATATATCATGGTTTAACGAAACTGTTATGTTAGGCTGTAACTGATTTAACATAAAATATTCAAACAGTTGTTAAATAGGTAGGTATTAATAGAAAATATATTAGGACAAAATGACAAATAATATAAAAATTTTGTTTATATTGACTAGTAAAAAATACAAGTTTATTGTTGTGATGTCTTATGCTATCACATTTTTTAATTTTATTTTTAATGAGGTAAAACATCCCAATGTTTGTATATTTGTTAGCTGCAGCTTTAATTAATACTAATCTATTATGGTTATAAAAGGAATGCTGATCAAAACTGTGCAATTATTTATAAATGACTTGTAACACTGAAGACACTATATATTTTACTGAAATAAGGTAGATAATTTAAAGTAACAGCTCCTTTTTATTATTTGCTCACAATGAAGACAAAAGCCTAACACATCCATGGAGGGATACTGTAAGTAGGATCTTTTCATATATTTTTTTTTGTCTATAAACATTATTTGTAGGTCTTTCTGGTCAGCACACAAATTAGCTTTTTTTTTTAAACGAATATACAATATATGTTACAGTATATTTTGTAAATCCCGATAGCGTGAGGTGTGGTAAATAATTACGATCATGTTGAGTATCGTCTAGCACACTATCGTAACTTTCTGACAAGCCAAAAGTTCTATAGCCGCCTGAAGATTAGTTGATTTGATGAAAAGGACATTTTAAAATTTGAAGCTAATATATCTCGTAGGCTGCGGACTTATTTTCAAACTTTGAAGAACTCATTTCTCTCAAGATTTTCATGAGTAAATGTAAGTCATCGTGAAAACCGTATTTTAAAAGCCAGTGAGAATTTAAATTTTCTCAAACTAAACCAAAAGAAACAGTCAGTGAGTTCTTTTAGGTTTTTTTCGTTACGGTGTTACGAAATTGATTCGGTCGCCACTCAAAGCCCGCGATAAAAGCTAAGCAATAGCTTAAAAAAAAAAGAAACAAAACGGACGGTATTGATTCGCGACTAGTCTCAATCAGACGTCAAAATTAAATTAAAATAAAATGTATATTTCGGTCGCAGAGAAAAAAAATTATTAACTTGGCTATTTACTCGGTAATTAACTGTTTAACCGCGGTATCGGGAATTAAACTAAAATGTAGGTATTTTGCTATTTAGGTGAGGAAAAATGAGCTAAACGGTCAAAGAGAGTGCGAGGAGACAGGGACGCGAAAGAATTACTTATAGTAAATACACGGAAAGAAAATACAAATAAATTTATACCCGGGGTAGCCTATTATCCCAGAATGAGCTGATCGTCATCACGAGCCCGCTCAGACAGGGTAATGAAGCTATTTTTGATTTCTACAACTTGCAGTTTGCACGAAAAAAAATGAAGCATATAAAGGGGAAAAGAAAACTAACGCGGATAGCACCTAGTCCAAGAATGAACTGATCGTCATCACGAGCCCGTTCAGACAGGGACAGGATACTAGTTAAAGTTATTTAAAATATATTTTAAAAATATAATAAAATGTAAAAATAAAAAAGATACAAAAATACAATAAACATATGTATAAGTTTTAAGTCTGAGATTTTCTGTCGAGTTTGAACATAGGCCCCATAAATTGCTGGAGGGTGGGATTATTGTTGTAGCTTGCATGTGAGGAAATACAATCAAAAGAAAACTCTAATATGGCCTTTAGACATTTGGCACATCTGTAAAAAATGTAAATGTCAGTCGGTGTTTAAAATTAAAATGCCACCTACATGTGTTTTTAAGGCACTAATATACTTATCCATGTTATTTAAGAAAATATCTATACCTTCATTAATTTTTTAAAGGCAAAGGCTTTTTATAATGAAACTGAAATACACTTCTAGAATTTAAGATATCAAAGATAATATTTATCATTCTTTTAAATCTAAGTTGTTGCACCAGCTTCAGCAAATTCTCTCATTTTTAATTCATCTTTACAAAACCCTAATGCGGTACAACACTCTCACTTAAAGCACAATTATTATCTCAATTTCCCCAATACGGCCCTGCACATTGTTTACTATGTTGTATATTTAGTTGTGGAATGTTATTTCAGATAATGTCTTCATATGATTATCTGTTAGGCTGCTACAACTACGTTTAGCACAGGCGACCATTGTTTCACATTTAATATGTACAATAGTTTGAAAACGGCAATCAAAATTAAAAAAACGTTGATTGAAACCACGATTAGCTGTTTGACAGATTAGTAAATACAATATGGCAGAAGTGAACCGGTTTTAGACCACGAGACAGCATCTCCCTACCTTCTACCTTTATGGACTATCATAATTGTCTTTATATAAGGTGCTTAGTTTCCCCAGAAGTATATATTCAAAATTAAAAGAGCAATATTTTTAAAAATGTAAACAAAACTTGGGATCAACTTAATAATTTTAAATTCTTAATTCTGCAGGAAAATATAAATTTTAAGTCCTACATTTTTAATAATATTGTTAAAACTTCCAGAATATTACTTTATTATTTATTATATTTAAATGGTTTTTGTATTAAAGGAACATACCTTTGCTGTTGCAGCAATATCTGATGTCATAAATTCATCTGGAATTCTTGCAAAAATATCTCTAATCCTGTGTTGGCAATCAGGTCCTTGATCAGTTAGGAAGAATTGTACTATAGAATCCTCACCTATTACAGGATGCCTACTTATCAATGTTAACCATCTTTGCAGAGCCCTCCTTCTGCCTTCTAAGAAATGGGCATCAGATACAATTTTTTTAGGGGGTAGTGATGGTACTAGCCTAAAATGTTGGAGGCGTTAAAACTAATAAAGTTATTTACATTTCCCAATAAGGTCTTAGTAAATCTTGGACACTAAATTGGATCTTCTAGGGAATAGTGGTTCTTCATTTATGATATTTAAAAACTCACCTGTAAGGAAATCTATTAAGTAATAATTCTTTTAAAGCTACAAAATCATTATATCTTCTGGTAACTTTAGTGTTAAATCTTACTGAAGTAATATTATACTCTGAGTATTTTAAAATCAATCCCTTTTTTTCAGGTACTAAATGAACATTTATTGAATCTCGTTTGGTTATTGCAGAATAATTAAATTCAACTGATTTCATCTTTTTCGTAAGTTGAGTTTTAATATTCTTCACTTGAGTAAAATCATTAATCTCTGGAGTTGGATACTCTGTAAAGTAAAAGATATTTTTTTAATTCTTGTTAATGTAACAAAATGCTAGTACAATTTAGAAAACACCATATTCTTAGTTGAGACATGTACGAGAAATTAAGAATACTCTTGTAGGAGTAACTAAATTATTAAAAGAGTAGTATTATTGTCCAAATTTAAGGCTAACAATATGAACAAGCAACTGTAATAAATTTTTTTCATTTTAGTATTTAGAAAATAAAAAATATGACCTCACAATAGTATATTAAAAAATTCATTTCAATTATCAATAATGTATTTTTGTAACTTTTTTTTATTCAAAAGCAAAAGGTTATCAACTGAGAAAGTATTTTACATAATATTGTGATTAATATGATTAAAATGCTTGCAGAAATGTTAAATACAAAAACTGTCATAAAAAAATAGATTAGCTTTAGGAACTTCAGATAAAAATAAAAACATTTTTTCCTGTAGTCACATTAATTCAGCATTAAATTTTTTTAACCATATGTCATGCTAAAATATTTATTTTTTGCTGGTTTCATCCAATTGTACAAATCTGATTAGATGACCAATTCTGTGACCTCATGAACTTCCTCTTCCCTTTAACTTATTTTTGTGGTAAATGTTTTTAGATGTTATAAATCTAATAGTGTCCATCAATTTAGAATATCAAATTCTGTGATCAGATGTACAGGGTCTAATAAATTAAGAAAACACAAACATGTTTTCAACACTGAATTTTTAGACAAAATGATTATAATTCAACTGAAATCAAAGTTTTAAATTGTGAATAACATCAGTTTTGATGATTATTTGCAGCCTTGGACATTACATTATTTGTCAGTAATATATTTTCCTATGTTATTACTTGCATCTCCCCAAATAAATTAGTTCTCTTCCATTTTTCGAAATATGCAAAATTGAGATAGAAATATTCGGGTTGATTCTAGTTAAACCTTGCTATGAACCTTTCTACAGTAATCACATTGTTGCACCTATTGAGTTATAACAATTTGGTATTTTATAATACTTATTCTATTTTAACCATTATAGCAATATTCATTATTAGTTTTGTTCATAGCAACATTGTTATGATGGTGAGATAAATTGCCTATTATTTTACACCTGACAACACTGTAAATCATAGTCGTTTCTGATGTTTCATGTTATATATTGTTTATAAAAGAAGGATCTTGTTTCTGATTGCAAATATGAGCTATTTTAATTTTTTAATTATTATTTTTCTTGGATTTTTATAATTTAATAGTTCTTAATTGTTGTTAGTCAATAATTCTAAAATGTCACCAAAGCGGCCTCACAGTAGAAAAGCAGTTTGGTAAATTCCTTCCTAGCTAAAAAATATTGCTAGTATCCCTGATAATCTGCTAAATAGGCCAGGAATGGGAGGAAACTACTACAAAGGTCAATGAAGAAAGATTCCTTACACTTTGGCAAAAAAAGTGCAACTAGTACACAGTAGAGCTTCCTAGTTTATGGAGTCTAATAGAAAATAGAAAACTAGGACACAGTGTTTTAAATCTAAATAATGATCAAGAGTTCTCCACAATAGAGCTGAAAAAATGTTGAAATAGGGAGGCTTCAAGACCCGCCATGAGTCCTAACTAAATCTAATCACTGATATTTTGGAATTCTAGTCACCTGCTTTACCTAAAAGTAAAATACTTAAGTAATTATATACAACAAAGATGAGAGCTTCACTAAAAACATGTACCTACTTGCTATATTTCGTATTCGTTTAAAAAATATAACAAAATAATGGATCAGCCTTTTCTAAGTGATAACTCCTTTGTTATCCGACTAACAAATACAAAAAGCAACTTGCTGAGATAGCAAGCTTGAACAGCAAAGATCTCTTAATAAATGACAGATCACATTGTTTAAAATTAAAGATAAGAGTACAGTATTCTGCCAATCTTGCTACGATAGCAATATATTTTTAAATTAGCTCTATAACAATATCATTATTGCAAACAGAATCGACCTGATTGTGACAAGAAAAATGGAATAGAGCTTTTTTAATATTAAATTCCCTTGATAAGTTGCATTCCTAAATCCCAAATCTAGTCAAGGGGAGGATTTACCCCTTGACTAGATTTGCTCATAGGAATGCAACTTATCAAGGGAATTTAATATTAAAAAAGTTCAGCAGCACTGATTATGATTAGTAATTGGATGGATGACAGCTTAAGACAATGCTATATACTCAGCTATGTATGAAGCTCAACTTAGTAGCATATCACAACTGGCAGCCCATATAGCATGAATTATGTCCTATTAACAAATTCAATATTTAATTTTAATACATTTTTGAAACACTATCACTATCCTTTATTTATAGGTAGGTAAGTACTTAGCTACTTATTTTGATTAAAAATAAATATTGTTTAAAACGAATATATTTACCTCTGTCAACACAATTTTCAAACAATTTATCAGTAATCTGTTTCCCTTGTTGACTCCAAGCTACCAAAGCAAGTGTTTTATAAAAATTTGTTCTATTTACATTTCCTTCAGATGTTCCCACTAGCTTATATATTCTTTCAATTTGACCTGATGATAATTTACATTGCTTAAGTAGAATCTCGTACACTTCATGAAGTACGGGTTGACCATCTTCAGAACATATATTAAATAGTTGTTTGTAGAATTGGGGTATTGATGCTATAAAATATTGAGAATAAGATTTAAATAAATATGAGAAGTTTCTTAAATATTTACCAGAACTAAGATCTGTTGTCATTATTGCGTAACCTCCACAGCATATTAGCTAACTTTAAGTCCCAAATATTGTCTATTTCTAATGTATCTTGCTTTGCAATTTCCACATATTTGCAACTAAAAATGACGTATTACAAACGTTTTGTGGTAGGCGTATTGATATTTAAAACCGGATATGTTAATTGCCTATTCTAATATTAAATATGTTACAAACATACAAACGTAACAGTACAAATCACAACATAACCTACATTGAGAAGTTTGAAGTTTTTGACACGTTTGACATTTCCACACCTGGGGGTCGATTCTCGACTCGTAGGAATTTTTTCCTATAGGAATTTTTGACATTTTTCTACACATCGGAAATTTATGACATTTGTCTACATGTAGGAAAGTGTCACAAATTCCTATAGGAAAAGGTTCCTACAAGTCGAGAATCGACCCCCTGTTGATGTATTGACATATGGATAAAAGATGAAACACATTAAACATACAAGGCCATTAAATAAAATAGGAAGATGAACATACAGGGTGTGTCATTATGTCTACAATTGATTCAAGTTACTACTGTGAGTTACTATTTTCCAGAGCTGAGCAAAAACTCGAATACTTTCACTCGCATTTCGATTACAAGTAAAATAACTACTCGTAATTTTTACTCATAAGTATTTTTAATTTGAAGTACCTATTACTCATACTTGCAAGCAAATTTAAATCTACTCTGTAGAATATACTTACTTGTAAAATACAAGTAGTATTTTTCGAGTAGTCGTAGTAAAACATACGGGAGGTGCTACTTCTTCCCTTACCTATGGGTGCTACCCGACAGTCAAGGGCAGCTCCAGACCGAAGTTTAGGGGGGGCATGCTACGAATAAAAAGCATATTTTTTTGCTCTTCAACGGAAAGAAGCTAAACAGATACATACAAATCGTGTAGAAATTACCGGAGGACTTTTTTGCTTCCCAAGTCTTAGTAGGTATGGTAATAAAAGGCTCGGGAATTCTAAGAATTTTAGCCTCCGATTCGAGGAGGCGGAAGGGGGTGCATTTTTCCCTGAACCGAATTCACGAGGTGCTGTACGTATAGTCGCCCTAAATAGAAGGCTAATAGATTGTAAAAAATTGAATCTTGGGTGGGGAAGTTCCCCATGCTACTCCTTATTTGGAGCCGCTTTTGCAGCTGGTGGCCAGTATATCACGGAGAAGCCTCGTTTGAGTTCAGGCTGCGGTCTCTTATTTGGGGTGGTAATACTGATAAAAGCAATTCGTTGGACTTTTCATTTATGGTGTTTTGGGTGTCAGTGGTGTCATTGTGTTTTATCGGTGGGTGTACCCAGACAGCACAAATAGGTCCATTGGACGTCCATTCGATAAACAATTTTAGATGTTCGGACGTCCAAAGAGGAGTTTTTTTCTGGACTTCCGACATCCAATAGACGTCCAGTGAAGTATACAAATGGCACACTTTTGACCGTTCATATGACGTCCAATTCTGGATTATATTTGGACGTTCAATACTGGTCATTCAAAAAACGTCCATTCCTGAATTATATACCATTGATACCAACATCCCTACTTTTTTACGCAACCGCAACTCACCACACTATTTTATATTATTAATAATTTATTTATTGTTTTCGCAACCCACTATACACCATTTATTATTTTTTTTTATTTATTAAAAATCACTTGACCAGAGCAGGTATCGAACTCATGACAGGTCCATTGTCTTTCTGGGCATTCAAGCGCTAGGTGACCTCGACCATGTCGCCACTTGAAAAATTCTTACTAGATACGGTATTAATAGAATAAGATTTCAAACTTCCGCTCTTTAAATCGTATGAAATGATAAGGCTAAATAAGTCGATAGTAAACAATCTTAGATAAAAACAATAAACAATAGACGAGAGAAAAATGCAACGTAACGTACTAGGCTGTGCTTTCGTATACCTCCACCTTCGGCGTTACCATTCTGTAGTACATCCTAGTAAAGTAGAACCAGAAATATTGTAAGGTCATAAAACACCAACCACTTGAATTATCAGCAGGCGGTCGCCTCTACGTAGAGATGAACCTACTCAAGCCATTAAGTTATTTTCTATAGGTAGGTATAACAAATAAATTGGGTTAAAATAATTATTTAAAAAAAATTGCTTGGATATATAATTTATAATTATTTATTTAAAAATAATATATGGTATACAGTGTCACACATAAAGTCCGCATCATATGGGTTTTTATTAAAATGCCTAAAGATTTCATAATATATTTTAATCCGGACCTGGGAATATTTTAAGGGACACACAATTTTATTGCTTATCTACATCTCGAACAAAAGGTAATAATGAGGGCGGCTAATACTGAGTTATGACCTTGCAATATTTATGATTGTACTTTATGTTACTTATTGGTGACTGTTTACGGTGGGGGGTTTCGCCTCCTGTAAATATCATCGGCTAACGCCCGCCGCACATGGTCGCACTCGCACTCGTTCACGAAATTGGCGCCAATGTGGCACTGGCACAGTAAACACTGCTTGGTTCGCATTTGCTCACGCAGTTTCGCTGAAGTTCTCTCTATCACAGTTTGTCTATTTGCGATGGAGGCGATAGATGTGAGTTCCGAATCAGATGCTGACAACGAATTTTTATATAGATTGTCACTGATAAGAAATGCAAGAAGAAAAAAAACTTGGAAAAGTTCATAAAATTAAGAGCCTCTGCGATCCTTTTCCAGATCAATTCTTTAAATTTTATCCGCATGTAATCGGGATGTTTTACATCATATAAACATTTTTCGCTACGTACAGCTTCTACTAATTCTTCTTCCATATCTACAAATACTTTGTCGTGTAATATTTTCAAAGAGTTTTGCGGCTCAAAAAAAATACAAACCTTCCACTCGTCTTCACTGCCACTCGAAAACTGTGGCTCGACCACAAGTGTCACATCGGTCCACGTGCGCGTACACGCTCATGTACGTTCCTGTGCTGACACGTGAGAGCAAATGCGGTGCTGTTATAAATACCATAGGTTTGAAACTACAACACTCGCACGAGGCTCGTGCCGACCAATGCCAGTGGTAGCATGTGCGGCGGGCGTAAGGCCGGTCCTGGTGGAACTATATTTGTTGAGTTTGAATATCCACATCAGATGCATCTGAGATGTTGTCAATTTTTTTTCACGTGATAGATGATTTGATTTAAATGTAGGTGTATTAAACAAAGGCTCTCAACGTATTATTGGGCATGTGGTAACATTGACAAGGACAAGTTAGAAGTTTCTACTTCTTGCGTTTGCCTTTTGAGACTATAGAAATAAACCTTAATTTGAAAACTAGACAAAAATTAAACAAATCACTTTTATATTCAAGCTAGCATAAACAAAGGATGAATTGATAAACATGTAACTAAACCTGAACCGGCATCTGGCAAGTTAACGGCCTTTAAACGTATGTACGTTACTTCAAGTAGTGACCTTTAGGTGGGAGTCTGCAATTGGTAAGTCGACTTATTGTGACAACGGGCGGCAGAAGGCCGTCGTCATTTTACCAGCAATAAGTAGTGAAATGCCTGCATATGGCCAGCAGTTTTCCATAATATTAATGTTAACTCTCCTTTAATGGACTTGCATAAGGCTTGTAACTTTACCAGACATAAGTAGTGAAAGGCCTGTACATGGCCAGCAGTTTCACATAATATTATTAACTTCCCATAAAAGGGCTTGCATAAGGCTCTTATAAAAATAATGCCGAGCTTTTAAAGCGAATGTGCCACGTGTGTCTTCTACAAAAAATATATTTATAAAATATTCTAAATTAACAACATGTAAAAACAAGAAATTTAAATGAATACTGAATAGAAAATACCAGCAATGCGTGACTGGCCGCATAGTACATGTCCACTCGTTGAGTATACGTAGCAAGGGATCATCGGTGTCTCCATTTATGAACGCGGGACGGAGGCTTCCTGAACTGTTGGGGTTAGGTCTGCGGCAGTCAAAAGCCTTTTGACTTTTACAGTTGAATGTGGGAAGCAGTTAAAAAGCCATCAACAGCCCATCAAATAATAATTAAGTTTAAAAGGAAATTATTACAAATTTCAAACGAGCTATAATGATTTGACAGTTGCATGCGGGAAACAGTTAACAAATAACCATCAACGACGCATGAAAATATTAAAGTTAACGAGCAGTTAATTACAAATTTCAAAAGGGCTATAACGAGTTTACCGTTACAAGTTACTTTGTCATCACATTCGTTAAAGGACCAACAACGTGCCACAATTTCAATGTTTGTTGGGTAGGATTGGAGACTAATTAATTTTTTTCAAGTTTATTTTATTGTATAAATTAGTACAACTCATACATTATTAAATTGATTATTTTATCTTAATAACCTAAATCAATTTTTAAAATTTTGTACATGTTCGTTTAGTGGGTCGTAGAAAAAGTACACTCTATAACTCGAGCGGATTGTCCCGTACCGCACTCAAACGATTGAGCACTCAAATGATTGAGAACTCAAATGATTGAGCACTCAGACGATTGAGCCTATTGCGTCTTGCTCAAACTTCGTCTTCGTGCGATATGGCCATCATATCAACTCTTGTTGCACAAATTACTATTGTAGATACATATACAAAATACTTTTAATAATTTTTGGATTAAATTGAATGCTTTAAAAGCTAATACGTCTCTGTAAAAAAAACATTTTTTGTTCAAGGACGCGGGGTATAATAATAATGCAACATTTATTACAGAACACAGTACTTTGTCTCAAACTAAATTTATATTTTTAAAGTTCTTATTATTCATATCCTACTATTAAATTTTAGTTTATTTTCAATAGGTACTTATCAATATTAAAATATTCCTTATCTTAAGATAAAAACAATTTACTTGTAAACTTGTTTTATTTTTACAGTCAAAACAAATTAGGTATCAACAAAATTAGGTAAAATGAAAGTTTTACAATTATGTTCTTCAAAATTATATTTAAAAGCTTTTAATTATCAGAGGCGGAACATTAGTGCTAAAGCATTTATTTTTCAAAATCAGTTTGATGGTTTTCCAAAAGAAAGTGATTTTAAACTGGTAAAGGAAGAATTGCCGACAATTAAAGATGGAGGTAATTGATTTTTTTATTTTAATGTAATACATACCTAACACCAATAATAATGGCATAAACGTGTATTAATTAATAATTGGAAATACAAAAAAAAGTTAAACTATTTTATTAATATAGGTAAATTATTTGTTTTTAAGGTTATGTTTAAGTAAGTTTCTGTTTTCTATTTAGTTGCTAGACAGGACAGGACTTTGTATAGAGAAAGTAAAAGTTGAAAAGTCTTTTGGTAGGTAGAGAGGGGGTAAACGTCAAACCACGTCGGGTGACTCCGAGAATTTCACAGTAATGTTTACCTGCCAGTGTCGTTTCATAGAATAAGTAATTTTAAATTGTTATCGGCGGAACCGGACAATCGCATGTATTTATGGATTATAAATAATTATTAAACATGTATTATAATATTCTAATTATAATTTTACAAAATTTCAACAGCTATTCACAATTTATTAAACTATTTACTCGAAATTGTTATTAACATCTATAAAATAATTTTGTACGCCAATGTATCGCGTCCACTTCGGTGAGATCCGCTGACAACCTGTCAATTTATGTGTATAAAGTGGGAGAACTGGCAAAAGCATTTCCAACTTTTACTTCTGTTCTAAAGGGTTTTCGTTCAACATTCAAATACGTTTAATTAATTCAGATAATTTAAAACAAAATAAATCATGAAATTTTAGATAAAAATGATTAATTTAGCAAAACTTAAAAATATTTAATAATCATCAATCATCAGCAACCTTTTTCCATAATTTTTTTCCATTCCTATTTAGTAAAAACAAAATATTCATAAAAAAGAGTCGTTACTTCAGCGATTGAGAAAATATTTGGATTATATTTTTACCGAATATATTCTGACCACGCAATATCTACAATAAAAATTATTATGCGTTTTCAGAATTCTTAGCAGCTGCTGAATATTTAAGTGTAGATCCGTACATGAGGGCATACGCCCCACGAGTTAAGACTGGGAAGACTTTTATGGGTTCCCAAGTTGCAAAGTAAGCCTAGTTACAGAGAAAAAATATGCTTTTAAATTGAGTTTAATATTTTATTTTTAGGATTTTGGAAAGTAAAAATCCTAAATTTCCAGAAGGAAAGTACATAGTAGGTGAATATGGTTGGAGAACACATACTGTTGCCTCCGGAAAACCTTTAACTACAGGTGTTCCTACAGCATGGTTGATACCAGATATAGGAAAACTACCAAAATCACTAGCTTTAGGTGTATTAGGAATGCCAGGGTAAGCCTAAATGGTTTTTTTATGTTTTTTATTCAATTTTGTGCACATAGGGTTTACCTTTATGTGTATTTGAGGTCAAAGAATTACATTATTTACTTATTTTGTTGTTTTAGAAATACAGCTTATTTTGGATTTCTTGAACTGTGTTTACCCCAACCTGGTGAAACAGTATTCATAACTGGCGCTGCAGGAGCAGTAGGTAGTTTGGTTGGTCAAATAGCTAAAATTAAAGGTTGCAGAGCTGTTGGTTTAGCAGGTTCAGATGAAAAAGGCAAATGGCTTGTAAATGAACTTGGTTTTGATCATTTTATTAACTATAAAACTGACGATATTCGAAAGAAAATTAAAGAATTTGCTCCTCAAGGAATTGATTGTTATTTCGATAATGTAAGTTCTGTTGGTATCTTAATAAAATCGCTATGTGGAAATTCAAATTGATATATTTCTGGTTATTACAAAGAAACAACTCTTTACGCGGACACACACACGGTATATATTTTTTAGTGTATTTGGTAGACAATATGTATAATATGTGTAACCTATGTGTTATTTTAGGTAGGTGGAGAAATAAGTTCTACTATAATGTTGTACATGAACCTTTTTGGTAGAATTTCTGTTTGTGGAGCCATTTCTGGATATAATGAAACTAAACCAGCTAAAGGTATGATGTAAAAAAGTAACAAAATTCAAGGCAGAGAGATAAATAAAGTTTATTTTTAGCATCTATTGTCCAGTATCCACTGACTTTCAATCAGTTAAAAATGGAAGGTTTTATTGTCCATAGATGGTTAGACAGATGGTTTGAAGGAATTGAACAAAACAAAAAGTGGATAGAAGAAGGGAAATTAAAATATAGAGAAACTGTTACAGATGGTTTTGAAAATATGTTTAAAGCTTTCACTGATATGTTACAAGGAGGAAATACTGGAAAAGCTATTGTAAAAGTGTAATAAAACTTTTTTATCCGTATAGACAGTTTTAGTTATATGAGTAAATGGAATGTATTAATTAGAAATTCAATTACTTTTAATTTTACGGAGGTATTTCTCTCTCCAAACCGTATTTATTATTATCTGGAAAAAAGGAACTTTTTTTTGCGTATAATGGTGATACTATGGTTTCTACCTTTTACGAAAATTTAGATAACTGGAATGATATCAAAAATTATTACCAGTTGAGAACCCACTGCGTGGGATTTAGATAGGTAGGTACAATAAACTCACTTGGTAGTTTGTAATAAACCTTTTTCTATTAATTGTCTTGTTGCAAAATAAAACATTCCATTTTCAACCAAATCTCCATCCCAGTCTTGTCTTCTTGGCCTCTTATTTGGATTAAAATTAACGGGAATGAGTTTATTGTCTAGTTCTGTCCATAATAGTTGATGAGATCTTAAAAAATAATATTTTATGATTAATTTTAAATATTAGACGTCTTTACCCATACAGCACAAACAGATTTCGGAAATATTTCATAAATGTTACATTGAAACATTTGTAATGTTGTATAAATATTACGAAAGGTACCAGAAACATTTCTGAAATGGGCCGAAACATAAAAATGATTATTACAAAGAAACAACGCTTTACGCGGACACACACAAACATGGATTCTTAAACAAACAAATAAATAATGTTTAAACATTATTTTATAAAATATAAACGCGAATCGGTTCATTTCCACCAATTCCTTTGAATGCACTAATCTGAAACAAATTATAGGTAGTAAAAAGGATTTGATTAACAATAAATTTATTAATATTGTTTTAAATTAACTATAATAAAACATGAAGCTCCGCTTTTCAATCAGAGCTGTAGAAGAAACTAATAAATAAAACTAGGTGGAGGAACAGCAAATGTAGAGATAAAAATAAGACTAAAACTGCCTGTAAATTTGGTAAACGAAATGGCGTCACTCGTCTCAATGAGATAAAGTAAATAAACCTAACCTAAACAAGTATTATTTATGTGGTATATAAACTCACCTCAATTTCTAAAGACATATTCTACTTCCCATATAATAAGAGCACAACACATAAATAAAAAAAGGAAATAGCAAAGCAAACTTCTAATTATTTGTCTCTGGCTGAACATATGATGAAATAAAATAATTACATAACATAACCCATCTACTTCTTACAAATCAGAAATTCTTCATTAAGTGTTTGCCTTTTACAGCTGTAACCCGTTTAGTAATCTTTTGTGTAAGTTTAAATTCCATTATTTTAGAAACATTTTTAGTGTAATATTTCAGAAATATTTTAGAAACTTGTGTTTAAAATGTTATATTTTTGAAACGTTTGAAATATTTCTAAAATACTTCTGAAATAAAGTGTGCTGTATGGGAAGATATATTGTGACAAAGACTAAATTTTCCTTAATTATAAAAATGTTTAGTTCAAGTTATTTTCCACCTATTAGCGTTCTCAAGAAATCCCGTAATTTTTATTTCCTAAAAAGTCCCGGTTTTGAACATTTGTGAGAGCCCCGTAGTTTAAAATATATAATTCTTTACAGAAATTCGAATCCAGCATTAAACATTCACAGACCTATCTCACAGGCTTAATTTCTCAACATCCAAGATGCCCTGAGTCAATAGATCCTAGACTACTCCGTTAATCATTGAAATTCACTACATACCGTCGATCACAAGATAACGTTGCTCTCTTATCCGTCACTGTATCAACTGTATTAAACCACATCTCTTTGAAAATAATCCTTTAATCGGGGACCGAGAATTAAAATAGGTGAAGTTTAATTTTTCAGAAAATCCGACCATAATCCCGGGGCTATCACAGTTCAGCTAACGCCGTTTTTTAATTCATCGCGAGAATTATTGCTTTTCGATAGTAATGCCGATTAAAATATTTAAGATGATATTAGTTGTATTCAACATGTTGATTTTGTAATTACTTTCGATACTTTGATTTTACTGTTAGTTTACTTTTATGTGGAATAGCGTGAGAATGGCCAATATATATTTATTTTGTTTATGGTCAAAAGCTTTAGTGAAACGCATTAGTTGCGGATTTGATCCTTTTATTTTTTATTTATTCCCTCGAGGTTTTCCTTTTGTAAATATCCTCGTTAGGTTAATTATTAATTATACTGTAAATAACAAAGGTTACACCGCTGGTTAGGAATACTGTGGATATATCCGTTTTGGTGATTTATTTCTTTTTGTATTTACTTCTACAAAGTTTTAATTAGGTAAATATATTTTCAATATTTTCTTTTTTTATATAAACATTTTTACGTTCCTATTTGTATACAGATAAGAAAAGTATAGGAATCATGATTTTTTCGACCTCCAGTTTTCGACGGATTTTTACGTTTTGGGGTCCCCTGAATCCATTTCGACTATTTTCGCGATGATGTGTGTGTGTGTGTGTGTGTTTGTGTGTGTTTGTGTGTGTGCGTGTGTGTATGTGTGTGCGTGTGTGTGTCTGTATCCACCATAACTCATGAACCGATACAAAGAAAAACACCAAATTTTAAATTTAAGCTTTATTCCGGCCTCCAGTGAACTGATTAGATTTTGGGTAGGGTCGGAACATTTGGGGGGGTACTTTATGGGTGGTCATTTTTATATTTTATGGAATATATCCGTTATTTACGTTTGGAGAAGAAAACTCTTCAAATAAAAGTTACTTACAATATTATATTACTGTGTATCTATAATTTTTGTTCTTTACAAAATTTTCCTAAAATGGTCCGTATTCGAGAAATTTGACAAAATGAAAAAAAAAATATATTTTTATAAAAATTGTTTAAATAAAAGTTTCTTGTAATATAATTCTCTATAATTTTTATCCCATTCATAATTTCTCTAAAATGGACCGTATTCGAGATATTTGAGAAAATGTGTAAATTTCAAATTTTGAAGAAAACTCAAAAACGGATAAAAAACATTAAATTTTAAACTTAAGTTTTATTTCGGTCTGAGGTGAAATTATTAGATTTTAGACGAAGGCGGAACATCTGGAGGGGTTCTTTATGGGAGGCCGTTTTTATATTTTATGGAATATATATTATAGAAAAATGTTTCGAGTTAGATGCGTGGAAAATGTATATATTTAGTTTATCCTTTAAACATTTATAGGTGAGGTGCAATAGGTTGTACAAAATAACCGGAAAAAGCCTATAATAACTAGATAGGAAAGTCATGTGTTGGACACATCAGATTTTTAGATTAGGTTAATTATCCTATTAATTAACTTAGAGCTTTACCAATTTATATTTATTTTCTTACTCTTTTTTTATAAGCATTTTTCATTGCGTTAATTATACTGTTCACAGCTTATTAATGTCTTTGCTGATTTATATTTATTTATTTTTGGGCAATTGATTGTAAATAAAGCCTAAAGTTATTTGGGTTTTGTATTGCTCCATCGTGGTTACCGTTTTAAATTATTATTTTGCAGAATCACATTTAGGGTGATTACACCGTTTAGGTTAAGTAAGGTAGGTTCTACTGGTGTTAAGGTTTTCTTTCCGCTACTAACCCTCCCCCCATTTGTAGGTGACCACCTGGTATTTATTTACTGATGATATGCTGAGTGTACTTTAGGTGTAATTAAGAGTCGCAGAGCAAATTGCGTTATTAAAACTGGCGCCCGGGCAACCCTTATTGTAAATAACAGCCTGGCGCCACACATGATTTCCACTTCACCACAAGTGAAGCAGTATATACTAATACTAACCGTATATTCGATTATTATCTTTAAAGAATATGACATCAAAAACTATACAAATTTTTCTATGATGAATTCAAATTATTAAACAAATAGGTAGTAAGTTTAAAATTTTGTTAAAAAAGGAAGGTTATGTAAATTTAGAATTTTTAATTATTAATGCCACATCTACCCACCTTGTTACGGAAAAAATACATTCTTCCCCGGATCTCATAAAATTAACAGCTTTTTCTATATGTTTCGAACTGATAAAAGGTGATGTGCACTGTATGAGTCCTAAAATATCGACTTCAGAATGATGATTTAGAAACTCTGTTACACCTTCTACTGAAGTAGCAGTATCTGTTGCAGAAGCAGCTGATCTCCAATGAACGTTAACATTTTCTAAAAAAAAACATTGTATTTTGTATGCTATTTTTACACTAAAAACATGTAGGTGTAGACCATTAAAATCCACTCTATTACACATGATTTTAGTACCTTTGTCAGCTTCTTCTAAGATTTTAAAATGGTCCGTTGATACCCAGATAGAATCAATATCATCTACTTTTTTAATATGTTTTAAAGATATTGCTAGTAGAGATACACCATCTATAGTAGCAATGTTTTTTAATTCTATACCTTTAGAGCCACCTCTTGCTAGGATAATAATCGCTAAATGAGAACGAGTCTCTAATACAAAAGGATTTCTAAAACAAAAATTATATAATAATAATAATAATAATAATAATAATAATATAATTATATATACTGAGTTATGAAATACCTCTAATTGCAGGGCGTTCTGTCGATTTTACTGGAAAATTTAAATCTAACCAACTAAATTTTTAAGTAAATAAAACCAGACTGAGAAAAATAATTATTATCAACATCACCTTCTATAAAGACAATTTTTAAATTTAACTATATCAATGTGTACAAACATATTAAAACAATATTATTAAAGTCCCAGATTATGAGTTGATTAACAAGCTTTATTAGGTACTCTAATATTAAATGTATATTAGAAACACCACTTAATATTAGGGCACATTTCTTTAAAATGTGTTGTACCAAAAGCAAATTAAAATTTGGAATTATATGTAAATTACAATATAGAAGTTATTCTACCTAAAATAACAAATTTCATTGAACATTGAAAAAATAAAAAACCAAAATATTTTTTTTATTATCAACCTTCTCGATTTATCTTAAAACTTATCAAAATAAAACAAATGAAATCGGAAAATAACAAAGCGCTTAAAAAAAATTGAACAAATTTAATAAAGATATACAAACTCCCAGTAAAATAATTATACTGTATCCATAATTCACCTCCTTATGAGTTAATAGCCCTTACCGTAGAATTTATGAAGGGAAGGGACTAAGGGACGGTTTTTATTGATTAATGATCCCATTTGACTTATAGATGAAAAAACTCGTAAAAATCTAAAAAAAAAATCATTTTCACCGTGAAATAAATGAAGAGAAACTGTAATTAATCCAGTATAATCGATAAAATCAGAACATTACACATCTTACATATTATGAACGTTTTCGGACTCGCCTAGAGGTACCTTTCATCCACTAAAGTAAAAATAACTTTCTTAGTAAAGCACTTTCCATAAATTTATCTATCAAGAACAACGACGAAAAACTACTAGACTAATTCATAGTTAAGCTTTTATTTATTGCAAGTATTAAGATTGTGTTTTATGTTAGGCAGACAGAGCCTTCGCATCGGCTGCCGCATCATATAAAGAGAGAGACGCCATCTAAATTGAGTGGGGATGATTTAGGCGAACTTGTTTATCTGAGGTGCGAGTACGCGTGTTATGAATGAATTAGCTCGTACATTTATGATTCCTGTTTTTCACAGTTGTCACATAAAAATAAATGATTTACTTTCGTGTAAATCATCTTGTGCTACAGTATGATAATTGTAACCAGAAAGAGACATTAAACAGATAATAATTAGTATTAAGAAGCTATATATACTTCTTTAATGTAATTTTTAAATTATTTTTTGCGTTTTAGAGCCTTACGTCAATTCCGAATTATAACCATAAACATTCATTGTAACAAGTCTCTCCCATAATCTCTCATAATTAATTTGGCAACTGAGGATAACACTGTGAATGCTTGTAATTAGGAATTTTGTAAAAAAAATTAGTATAGTAGCTGTTCGTCGTTGATCAAGAATTATTCATTAATTTCCCTATAAAAAAAAAATACATACCGCTTATAATATTTACAACAGTGCGCACTTACTATTATGAAAATAATATATAAGACTTGTTTATTCCAATACATGACTTGACATGACTGTGTTAAAACGTAGAGAGACTAAAAGGTTTTAACAGGACATCCTAATCTTCGGTAATATTTATTAGAGTTAAGTGGTTATAGGTGCACTAATTCTTTAAATTAAATGTAATAAATGTGTAGATGTCCTTTTATAATTATTGATTTTGTACCCGCATTATCTTACTTTACGTTTTAAATTGGATAATTGTTTGTACACGAAAACAACAGAACACTTACGGAAACAACGACTATTTTTTTTATTATTACACCTTTATAAGCCGAAGATGGTAGGTATATTTTCGTGATGATACCTATCTCAAACTTTCAAAGGTCGAAATAATAATCGTCTTTATTTAACAACCCTCGGTTCAGTCCAACATGGCTGTTCCACCCAACCGAGTATAATAATAATAATAATAATAATAATAATAATAATAATAATAATACTCTCCCTAATTCACCCCCTTACGAGTGAATTTCAACCCCTGAAGTCGACTAAACGACTTGTGTAGGGGAAGGGACGGCTATTATTATTATTTGCCGTGGCGCTCCGGGGCGACTTAAAGATGATTGATGGTGCCATTTGACTTACAGGTGAGGAAAACCCGGAAAACCTCACCCACCATCATCGAGACGGTAATGTATGGCGAATTTTTTTAATCTGCATGTCATATCAACAGAAATTTAATTTCTATTAATACGCCACACATCAAATCCTAAACCGAACCATGCAATTTAATTAAAAATCCACATGGTCTGGTCTGGGATTCGAAACCCAGCAGTCTCAGACTCATAAACTTGCCTATAAATGAATATAAGCGCGATAGACCGCTACACCACCGTCCCCATATCAAATACAAAATAACATAGCTCTTTAGGTATATGAAAATTTTGTAAGTGGGTTCAAATTGAAAATGATAAACTTAAATTTTATCCTAGGGCGGTTAAAGCGACGTTTTGGAGATATTTATTCTAACCCCTCGTAAACCAATCACCCTCACATACCTTCACCCTGTTAATGCGAACACGAAATTAATCATTAAAATATCTCGTTTTTCTATGACAACTAAACCGTTTCCATGGTAACTAATTAAACAAACACTATTGTATCTATATTTTTTACTTTTTGAGTAGTTTGTATTTTCAACTGCCAAATTTTATTTATTTTAATTAAAAATGGATTGGTTTAGTCATAATGTTCCACAAGGAGGAATGATGCAAACTGCAAAGAATACCTACAATCCAGATACAGCTAAATATTTAAAATGTAAGTTAAATTAATTGATATACATAATATAATAGGTACCTAATATAAAAGTATCGTATTTGAATCAAACAGCATTTATTAGGTGTATGCTTATTTAATAGGGTTTATTTGATAAATATTTAATTAGGAAAATCTTGCAAGTGGCTAATTTAGTCAAGATGTATTGACAAATAATTTTTTATTATTTTGTTAAAAATTTTAATTTGCAAGGTATTCGCATTCAATGTAAATGAAGACAATTAATTTTAAAAACTTCTGCATCTCCATCGTTTCCACTCTGCCTCTGGCTGCCTTCTCACAGTAGCTGCCCTGGTTGCTAAATGAGATCAAATAATGTTAATTAACAGCAACTAATTACTTTGTCAACTCAAGATCCTAAAGATTTAAATGAAAATGATATCAATTTCAGTTATGTTACATTTTTGTCAATTCATCAAATTCCCAGTATCGAGTTTCGGTTCATTCGGTACTTAATCTTTCCACGAAGTATAAAAAATGTTAAAATTAATGTTACGTTTTTCAATTTGTATGTCTCTATTTACTGGCCTAAGAATTAAATAATATTTTGTTCACATATCTATCAAGGGCGGCTCCATCAGGGGAGGGGCTGTAGGGGCCATGTCGCCCTCCTGAGATGAAAATTTTACGATTTATGAGCCTTTTATTAAAAAAATATATGCTAAAAAGGGAATGGCTAAAGGCAATGCCCCCCCCCCTTCCCCCCTCCCCCCCCCCCGAAAATTCGTCTTGGAGCCGCCCTTTATATCTATAGCAGGGTAATTACTGATGCGCGAAATATTTTGGTTTTGAAAAATGAGAACTATTTCAGGCTTAGGTATCCATCGAATCAAATTATATATACTCTTTCTTATTTCTAACTAATAAGATATTTTAGTGCCACTGACATAAAATACGACTTATCTAATGTCACGAAAATAAATAATTTTGATGCTTTATCATCAGTACAACCTATTTTTAGACCACTAAATTTTGTGCCATAAACTATTGGGACAGGTATTCGTCCACGTCAATTAACTTTTCGTGCGGATAATCATGGTCCAGTAGAAAAAATTTGTCTTTTGTTTAATGTACACTCCGAAGGCATTTCTTGCGGTATTTTTGATGTAGCGATAAGCACATATAGAAAGGAACTTAACAAAATTGTTGGGCTCGATTAAAGAGATATAACCTTGTAGGATTTCCGTGGCCTTGGTGTGGGGTTTTGCAGACGCTCTGATTATTCCTGAATATTTCTGATTATTTCAGTAGTTTTGTTCTTTAACGAACTTTGTTAAAATTTTGTAGTAGCGAGGTTTGTTTATTATAATTTCACTTATATATTTAATTAGATATTATGTATTTTTGTTGATTTCTATTTTCGCTGTATTTATAGGAACATGTAATTAGGCTCATGCCTGTTTGTTTCTGGAATAAATAAATAAATAAATAAATAAATAAATAAATAACTTTCAATAGTTTCAATGTAAAAATTTAGTTTCAGTAATATTAACTATGGGATATAGAATATTGTAACGATAGTTTAATTTATTTATAGTTTATTAATTTAAAACAAACTATTTACAATTTATTTATGACGTACTAATTAATTTATATAATACTTAGGTACTAACTCACAATTCTGATTTATTACAATTTATCTTTTCAGTCCAATACTTTATTCTAAACTACTCTTCCGTCTTCAAACTCGCGATATTTATATCAAGCCAACTATGTAGCCAGAATACTCTGGGCTTTCCAGACGCTCTCGAATGTCACCCGAAAATTCCATCTCTATGACTCAACGGCTACGTATTGCTTTTTCCAGTAAATTTCCGAGAAGCGGTGCGTTTGTCTCTATACGTCTCAGCGGTGTTTCGATCATGAGTCAGTTGGCTGTTCAAGCTCGCGCTCTACAGGGACGGCTTAGGCATTCCTATGACAATAGGTTAACGAATGTTTTATTAAATGTATGCTTCTTTTTAGTGTTAATAGATGAAAGTAAAATGACATCAATGTTACGGAAAAAAGATAACTACATTTTAAGAAATAATGAACCATTGCCTTCTTTATCCGAACCTCCTAGTCGTACTGCTCGATATCCAGTTACCATCAGACCAGGAAGTTCAAAAAAACGATCAATGGACACCATCATAAAATCGGGGGTGTATGAACGAGAACAGTTTAAACCCATTCATCCATTGGTTGATAGGGAAAAGGAAAAAGAAAAATTACAGAATAAGATGGCTTTCAATTCTGATGTTAAAGTGAAAAAGGACAAAGCTCTTGAGAAGAAAGTTAGCAAAGAAATAAGAGTAGAATACAATAGGTTTGACCAACGTAAGTTATGAATTTTAAAATGAAGTTTAGCACACTTATCTACTTATGATATCATACAATGCTCAAAACCGTTTCTAGGATGCGAAGGAGGAATTTAAATGACAAAATACAAAACTCACCTCCTGAACCTCCTATGCAGTGACGGCTCTGGGCTAAAATATTGGGGATTCACAATGATAGAATATGGATCTCAGTACAGATTCAGGTAAAAAACGTTTAGTATTTTAGAAAGGTTTATTATAAACACTGAAAGTTTTTAATCTAAATCTATATTCTGTCATTGAGAACCCCAACATTATTTTGATGATGAAACGCCACTGCTCCTATGCGCTAACTACCTTAAAGAAAAATACATACAAACCATACATTTGTTATAGGTACGTCATTGGAAAGCTAGTAAAATTATTTTCAATATAAAATATACCCTATACATGGTGGTTCAATAGTATACAATAATTACGGCATATTTAAAAAAAGATATGGCATGTTTAGCTGAATTAAATATTTTTATTAAATTTTACTTTTCTGATATCTTTAGTTCATGAGATATAGCTATTATAAGTTTTCTAAATGTCACCTAATTATATTGAATAAGAGAAAAAGTTATACATGATTTTATGTGAAACCACATAACTATCTCTGATAATATAGGTAAGGTAATAGAAATATCGAAATGAAATTTTTCATGTGAAAATTTGGGGAGCAATTATCGCGGAAATCAAATAGTACACAGAAGGAACTGGACTATGAAGGTATGAAAGTAAATACCCAAGCATATTCCAGACGTAAATTCATACAATTGAAAAACGTATTCATTTTAACATCGATAAAAACTATTTCATCCAAGAAAATATCATCATGACAACAAGTAGCCGTCAAAGCGCTGCTTAGCTATAATATAATCAGCTCAAAGATAGTCTAGAAATTACTAAAGAAACTGTAAGTTAAGTAAGAAAAAAACAGAATAGTAATGAGATTGCAGATAGTCTCTGAAAAAAAGGAGCTCTAACATCTCATATAAGACCTGAGTTCATCTGCTGAATCAGCAGAAGAACAATATGAGAAGGGGTGAGAAGACAGTAATGCACTAAAAGATCTGACAATTGGAGATATCTCGCGGGACTAAAGACTTATAAAAGGGAAATATCGAATGCATGTCTGACCAAGAACAACTTGCGCGTATTAACAGGTATATTTACCAGTCATTTTTGACTTAAAACACCTTAGGAAACTTGACGGAGGACGAAACATTCATCCACATTCGACCTAATCCTATAAAATCCAAGGGCGCTATACATGGGAGAGTATAGTATCTGCTAGCTTGGAGCCACTTTAAATTCTAAACTGTCTTATAAGAAAATAAAATGGTTGTTATACAGACAGAAGGGGACATAATCATAATAGATATTTTAGGTTGCAGTATACCTAACAACCCAAATATGAAATGGTGTAATTTTGTAGATATAGGTATATGCGGTAGGAATATTTTATTAGTTTTGTTCGCGGAGCACGTGCCGACAAGTACACGTCTTCGCTGGTAAATAATCAGAAACGTTTGTGCGCAAGCGCGATTTGTAACAAATCCCTGACCAGACACAGCGAACGACTTCGACTTGTGAACTAAAACACTTCAACTGCAATGAAAGTGAGCCAGAAGAATGTGAATAGTGAAGATAATTTTTAGAATAAATTTCAGAACAAACATTACATTGTGCTCCGCGAACGCTGGATATTTTGTCAAAATCCCTGATTTTCGGCTCCGCGAACGCTTATGGGGCGTTTGATTTGATCCCCGAGCGATCAAACGTGTTTGAATTAACACTCCGAGCGATCCCAAAAGTGTTTGATATGTTTTGGAGCGAGACCATACGAGTAGTAACATAGTGCTGTGAAGTGGGACTTATATAAACAGAGGAATAAGCCCTACAAAAACAACACTGGTAGCCTTTTCAAGGAAAAAAAACCTTATTTTAAAAACCGTTACATTAGACGGGATAGATATAGACTGGAAAAGTGAAGTCAAATATCTAGGCCTAACCATGGGCAACAAACTTCTCTGGAACACACATGAGAAGGAAGTAGTAAATAAGGCCACAAAAGCCCTAATGGTATGCAGAAACATTGCAGGTAAACGATGGGGATGTAACCCAAACATACTGCGATGGATGTATACTGCAATAGTGAGACCAATCATCACTTACGAGGCTATAGCCTGGAGTAACAGAACTAGTTTAGCTACTACGAGAGCTAATATCTCAAAAGTACAAAGACTAGCCTGTGTTTGCATTACTCTACATTTGATGATAGAGAATATGTGGCAAAAAGGACACGATATAGAATGATCAGGAACGGAGTAATCAGACGAAAGTCTGCTTGCTTTAGGACTAAAGATACCTGGGACATGCCCCAGGATGAAATGCTAAAGAAGTACAGTTTTGTGAAAACCTTTAAAACCACAGAGCTGGGCTGCAAGAATAGAGCCAAGAATCCATCGCGCATGCAACCAAAAGACGTGCTATTCAGTGGTATACGGACAGTTCCAAAACCATAGTAGGAACTGGAATAGGAGTGTATGGGCCGAGAACCAAGCACTCCGAAAGCTTGGGGAAATACCCAAGCATCTTCCAGGCAGAAATTCACACCATTGAGAAGTGTATCTAGTTTAATATCGAGAGAAACTATCATAGACAAGAGATTATCATTATGTCCGATGGTCAATCAGCCATCAAAGCGCTGAGCTCTTACGTAATCAGCTCAAAAATGGCCTGGAGATGCCTAGAACAATTGAATGAGCTAGGCTAGAAAAATAGAGTTACTCTCACTTGGGTCCCGGGACATAACGCGGTACAGGGTAACGAGATTTCAGATAGTCTTGCAAGGAAAGGAGCTCAAACACCCTTTGTAGGACCTAAGCCGTTCTGCGGTATCAGCAGTAACATAATATTAGGAGAGATTAAAAAAGAATTGGGCAGTAGAAGAACCGATAATTGGAACAATCTCTTGGGGCTGAGACAGGCCAAGATACTTCTGGGTGAATATAATCAGAAAAGATCGGAAGCCTGCATCTGCCTGAGCAAGAACAGGCTACGTATTGTAACAGGGATCCTTACCGGGCATTGCCGACTAAAAGGACACCTAAGTAAACTGAGAGTAGTAGAGGATAGTGAGTGCAGATTCTGTGAGGAGGAGGAGGACGAAACCTCCATTCACATTCTAATTGAATGTGTAGCACTCCAGAATCCAAGGGCACTATATCTAGGAGGATATCAAATAGAAGAGGGAGATTTACCTAACTTGAACCCACTTCAAATCCTACACTTTCTTGAGAAAATAGGATTGGAAGGGTCGTTATAGGCATTGAGACATTTCCTTAGTGCATTGGCTACAGAAGGGGACACAATAGATCTTTTAGGTCGCAGTGTATTAACACCCCATTCTCAACATAACATAACGAGGAGCTCCATTTTCTCAGAGCTGAAATCGAAGTATGTGGAGCAGAAGAATCGAGAAAAGGGAGAAATTTGTCTTTGTCTCTACCTATCTCTTTTTAATTAATTTACAGTTCATCAAATTTCTAGAGGTGTTCGACGCCCAGACAGAGAACGCGCTACGTGTGACTAAGATAGCTATTGTACAGTCTGCTAAACAAGTTATTTTAAATAGTTTTTAATATTTTTAGGTAATTAAATTTTAAAAGTGTGGAATAGTTTTGGGATTAAATTGGTCTGATTGGACTTTCTTAGAACGTTTTTAAAAGCAGCTAAAGATAGTATGTAGAATTGAAAATAATTATTATGCCATAAAAGGTGTTTTGGAATTCCTTCAACCTTTTGAAATTGAGTCAGAAAATATAAATTTTATAGGATAGCGGAAAATACCTATAATTTTTTTGTATGCCTTTGTAAATCGTGGAAATAGTTTATATTTTATTTCTACCTTATTAAGGAAAATGGTACCTATTATTAATAACGGTTGTTTCTGAAACATTACTAAAATTTTCGAAATTTTGTTTTTCTACAAAATAATAAACTATACTATTTAGAAAAAAATTTATTTCTCTTATAATTTTATAAAAAATAACAGGGGAATATTTACATTTCTTGATCTATTAAAGAAAACGATAAATTATCTCGACGAATGACACCATGTTCTAGTACGGAAGCTAGCTTAACATTTTTGTTGGTGGTTTCATGGGTTTCATATCAATTTTTTGTAATTGTAGTTTACACGTACATATACCTCTTAACACTTGTTTGCTTTATTAAAAAAGTGTGTTGTTGTGATTTACGTCGAAATAAGTCATAAACAACTTGAAACCCCATATAAAATCAAAAAGGAGAAACGGAAAAAAATTGAGCCTGTAAATGAACACAACTCAGAAACAAAAATAGCTATCTAATAATAAAAAAATAAAATTTGATTCTTGTGCAGCTTCATCTATATCATTAACTGTTTTTGGTTTTTTAATGGTTTTTCTTGGTGATGAAAATTCCGATATCTCACGGTTATCGATTCTTTTTTTCTCTCCAGAAATGCGGACGACAGTGTTTTTAGATACTCCTGTGGCTGCAGCAACACGATCATTTACATTTTTAAATGGTATTGAAGGTGAATTAAAGTTTCCTTCTCTTCTCATAAACTCTATAACATTGGCTATTATTTCGCGAGATTGACTGTTAATCACGCGGCCTCTTAATTTGCTATTAAACTCCATACATAGGTTCTATTAAACTGTAATGAGCAAAAAACACAAACGAAAATAAAAGAAATGTTTTAGCGAAATTTACATCTGACATTTACGTCTGAATGAAATAGTGAAATACTTGATGCGCAGAGTGTACTTTCATTGCGTAAATCCGTCGGGATGCCTGTCAGTAGTGCTTTCTCTGTCTAGCCGTCGAAAGCCTCTAGAAATTTGATGAACTGTACAAACAAACTTGAATCTCATAATTTGAGACTAGACAAGAAGTCAACAAATTACTTAGCCGCTTTTGTCTTATAGCTAAAATTATTCATCATAAAAAAAATGTGTTTGGAACATACATTTTCTCTGCTCAGATCAAATCACCAGTAATCACAAGCATGGAGTTTGAAATCCAAGCGGGAATTTGTGGTATACGCTGCATTTCGGGGCCATTGCCACTTATTGTTAAAACTTTTTCCATTTTCTTCACTTTTTCTCACTGTTTAGACACAAAAACCAGAAATAAGAATTACAAAAAAAAGCGAGGTTATGTTTTTTACTGCTGTTTTGATTTGATTCAATGTTCTATTGTGACGTCATATCACTTCTCGGTCTTCTCGATGCTCACTCGATCGAGTTTTAAATCAAACGACCCTTTAAATTCGAAATGCGCCTGCTTGTCGTAGATTTGTCGACGACAGGCTCCGTGAACCAATTTATTATAAATATATCTGTACGTGAAAGAACCCAATTATTTTTGTGGACAATAGTTAACCCCTAGACCCTTCGAAATAAAGATGAGACGTCATCAGAGAAATAAGGAGAGGCTCTAGTAAATCGGTTGACTGATGCCGTGATTGGACACATGGACACAATTCTACCGCTGTGGGCTGATCTACCTCTGTCTAATCAATAGCATCGCGTATTCTATACCGTTTTTCTGGTTTAATTGTAGGGAACTTAATATACTGTATAGAGTTATTCGTTTACGGAAAAATATAAGTTGTTAGGAGTAAATATATATCTAAAAAGTCTTATATAAAAGGTATTTTGTTTTAACGAATTATTAAATTGTTGGGTGATGAATATGCATTTTTAGAGGACATACCAAATTTATGTAACGTCAGCGTTTAGCATATAGGGCCGTCATTTTGAATTTTTTTAAATAGCGTAGGTACTTCTTTCTCTTTCAAAAATAGAGGAAGAAGTAAGCTTTTCTGTGATAGCGTTGCTATTAAAAAGAAAAAGATGGTGGAGGTACGCTAAACGTTGACGTCACATACATTTGATTTTAAAAAATCCAATTCATAAGGTGACCAATCTAGGGAGGACAGTCCTTTTGTAGGTTCTATTCTTCCTCGAAAAGTGTCCTGCTCCTACACGTCCTCCTTGATATTTTAAAACTGATCTGTTAATCTCTCTGTATGTTGACACTCTAGCTGTAGTACCTAGGTACTTGAATAGAATGGGCATTTCTTGCTCCGAAATTTCCAATATATTGTTAGAAAATAATATATTGACCAAAAATGTTCATTTAATGAAAAAAATACTCGTTTAATTAGATAATTAAAAAGGACGTATGCATAATTAGTATATTTTTGTTTGAATTAATGTTTCATTTATTTACTTTGTACTTTTTCCTTAAGTTTTTTTCGTTCTATTTTTCATTGTAAAAAAATTGGTAAATATATACCCGTTAATACGCGTAAGTTGTTCTTGTTCAGACATGACATGCATTCAATATGTGCTATTGGTCACCTTTATTCACCTTACTATTCATCATCTTAAGTAAAATGTATACATATACTAATAAAAATGTATTTAACCTTTTTCAGTAATGCAAGAAATTAAAGAAAGGGAAAATTGGCTGAAAGAAATGGAGCGATTGGGTGAAGCCGATAAATATCGACAAGTTATTGAAAATCAAATTCAAGAAAAAGTAAGAGAATTGGATCGAATGAAAACCTGTAATGATATGGTGGAAACATAGTCAGTTTTAGAATTTACCCAATTTTAGGGAATACTTTCAAACTTGTCTGTGCGAAAAACTAATTGAAATATTGTTGTGATATTTATTTGAATACTGTATAGAGGCTAAACTAAAACTAACATGAATATTCAAATGTTGTAGTTTATATAAAATGTGCTTGTTTAGTCTATAAAATATTTTTATAAATAAAACATACTTTTTATACTAATCACAGTAGGTACTGATATGTTATCAAAACACCCTGTGTTCTAAAATAATGAAATAAATTAATAATAATAATAATAACCATACTAATAATAATGATGATAACAATAATAATAGTAATAAATTAATAACCCTGTATTATGAAAATAATGTAAGAAGTCTTACGAGAAGCAGACTAAGAGAGAAAAAAATGGTTTCTAGATAAAAAAAAAAGTCAGTTTGAAGTTAATCAATTTTGAATTTTGGAGAAAAATGTCAAGGAAAATTTAGGAATATAATTATAAATATAAAGATATAAAAGAAACTTAAATAAACAGACTGTAAAGATTCGTTGTAAGAGCAAATACAAACCATATGGATTACTAGAGGAAGAAAAGAAGAGGAACATTTACAAAGTTTATAGGCGATAACAAAGAGAGTGATATGGACACAGACAATTGTGAGCACGGTATTTATAAAAACATTTCATAATTTTGTGTAATTATATGTAGACTAATAGTTATGAATTGATATTCATAACAAATTTTTCTTTAAAAAAATGAAAATTTGTAATAATTATAGTTTAGATTTTAATAACTCTTTATAAATAGCTAAGTTATAACCAAATCTAACAATAATAATTATTAGATTTGGTAATTTTTCTTTAACAAGAGGTATTTTTTTTTTGTGTTTAGTAGGTATAGTAGGATAGTTTTAATAGTTTGTTTTAAATGTTCAGATATACCAGGTAGTAAAAGACCTGATATTTGTTAAAATTTGCAGATACTTATTTTGTTAAAATTAAACACAAATTTAATTTTGTAAGAGTTTTGTTTATTTAAGTATCTAATTGCTTGATATCATAAATATAGGAATCATTTTTCTATAAGTTCTAAATAAACTAAATAAACTAAATAAACTAAATAAACTAAATAAACTAAATAAACTAAATAAACTAAATAAACTAAATAAACTAAATAAACTAAATAAACTAAATAAACTAAATAAACTAAATAAACTAAATAAACTAAATAAACTAAATAAACTAAATAAACTAAATAAACTAAATAAACTAAATAAACTAAATAAACTAAATAAACTAAATAAACTAAATAAACTAAATAAACTAAATAAACTAAATAAACTAAATAAACTAAATAAACTAAATAAACTAAATAAACTAAATAAACTAAATAAACTAAATAAACTAAATAAACTAAATAAACTAAATAAACTAAATAAACTAAATAAACTAAATAAACTAAATAAACTAAATAAACTAAATAAACTAAATAAACTAAATAAACTAAATAAACTAAATAAACTAAATAAACTAAATAAACTAAATAAACTAAATAAACTAAATAAACTAAATAAACTAAATAAACTAAATAAACTAAATAAACTAAATAAACTAAATAAACTAAATAAACTAAATAAACTAAATAAACTAAATAAACTAAATAAACTAAATAAACTAAATAAACTAAATAAACTAAATAAACTAAATAAACTAAATAAACTAAATAAACTAAATAAACTAAATAAACTAAATAAACTAAATAAACTAAATAAACTAAATAAACTAAATAAACTAAATAAACTAAATAAACTAAATAAACTAAATAAACTAAATAAACTAAATAAACTAAATAAACTAAATAAACTAAATAAACTAAATAAACTAAATAAACTAAATAAACTAAATAAACTAAATAAACTAAATAAACTAAAATAAACTAAAATAAACTAAAATAAACTAAAATAAACTAAAATAAACTAAAATAAACTAAAATAAACTAAAATAAACTAAAACAAACTAAATAAACTAAATTTAATTAAATATAAAATAAAAATAAAGTTTATGAAATATAATACTTCTTCTTGAACCGACACCACTCAGAGAAAGAGAATCTGCTCCATATAAAATAAAGTGCTAAAATATATTAAAAAAGAAAGCTAGCTGAGGTAAGTTTAGGTTATCGAGTATTTATAAATTTTAAGGTTAAATAGAGAACATTACAGTACCTACTTAATTTTGACTTTGATCGTATTTTTTCTCGTATCGTATGAGACCGTGAATTTTTAAACCGCTCTGGTTTCAAATAGAAAAATATTACACTTTCTACCATTTTTAAAAAAAGTTCAATAAAATAATGCATAATCAGAATTTTAGGCCAGAGTCAATTCGGTGGTACTAGCTCAAAATGGCATTCCGACGACCTGTCAAACAATAGCTGCTAGTGGGCAGAACCCCTATTTCTAAGGGCGTTGCGACATATCTTTTCATCTTGGACGGTATTTTTATTCGAAATAGTAGTCGTCAAGCCTGTTAATTTATGAAAAATGTATAAGCGGTGTTCAGTGGCGTAGCCAGCCTTGCGGGGCGGGGGAAATACATTTAATGGGGCGCAACATACATTTTTCGAAACCAGTTTCATGATGTTCAACATTATGCAACTGATTGCGTGAAATAGATCATTTTGATACTTGCTACGATTATAAAAAATGTCATTTTATGTCAAAATAAAAAAATATTTGAGGCATTTCAAACAAAAACGGTGTTGTTTTTTAAAAATATGTTTCCAAATATTTTTCAATTTCAATAAATGTTACATGGTGTAATAAAAGTAACTATTTATTGTGTATATAGGCACCAAGCGACAAGGGGCGCCTAGTAAGGCCCACACCTGGCTACGCCACTGGCGGTGTTTTAAAAATAATGTTTTCATTGTGTTCGACATAAAATATTTAAATGTAATCCATTAATCATGATTTTTTGTAGATAGAAAACATCGTATGACCGAACCCCTTAGATATACCAACCCTGGCGTCGATATAAGGGGATGTAATGAGTAACTGCGATTCACATTTTATAAAAACAATCAATTTATTCCATTAGTCTTTAATTTTGGACTCAAAAAGAGAGTATACAAAAACATGTGGGAGGTTAAAAAATAATCAAAATAATAAAAAAAAGAACGCACTAAATTAAAGTAGGATAGTTTACGTAAAAAAAAACAAAAATGTTAGATTTTATATTTTAAAATTAAGATCATTACTTCTAGTGTGCACATTTGCAAAAACATTTTTACATTTTTTCAAATGAAGGGAAATAACACGATCAAGATATTATATAGACGAACAAGATGCGTTTAAGAGACCGCATCACTCACCAGCGAAAACAACAGACTGAATGAGCGGAAATGTCGCTGACCTAGGCTCGCCCCACACCAGACGTTTAAGATGTAATGAGCATCATAGCGCTGTCGAAATATTTGTATTCTATTTGTAGCGTAGTTGCGTATTCTATATACGGTAAGCACCATAAGTCTTACCCCCCCCTATCTAACTCGTTACTGGAGTCTTGTTAGGAAAATCGCCGACACACGTCGATTTTTGATTTCTACAATGTATATTTTTAAATGAATAGTTTACCCTTAATTCCATCCCTTACTGGAGGGGAGCAACCCTTTCGAAAAATTTAAATGGCATGGGGTGGTGAGTGATAGCTCATTTGAAAGAGGGTTTTATTTTCTATTCAACCGTCTAAAAAATTTTGAAATTTGCTTCGTTAATTCTCAACTAATTATTGTTTCAGAATAACGGAAATTAACGTAGCGCACTCATCCTTAGAATTAAAATTCGGCCCTGCATGATATCGGTTTTGGTTCAGACGTGAAGTAAGACTTTTTGCCATTAGAAGGTCACTGTTAGTTTAGTTGCTTTCCTATTTTGTGATGTTTCGTTATTTTTAAACATTAATAAATCAACACGTAATGACGAAAATTTCAAAAATTTTTGCACGGTTGAATAGAGAATAAAACCCCCTTTCAAATGAGCTATCACTCACCACCTCTTGCCATTTAAATTTTTCGAAAGGGCTGCTCCCCTCCAGTAAGGGATGAAATTAAGGGTAAACTAATCATACATAAATGTGCATTGTAAAAATCAAAAATCGACCTGTCTCGGCGATTTTCCTAACAAGACTCCAGTAACGAGTTAGATAGGGGGGGTAAGACTTATGATGCTCACTGTATAAAGCTCGACAAATAATAATACTCTTCCCAGTGCACGCCCTTACGAGTGAATTTCAACCCCTGAAGCCGACTGAACGACTTTAGGGGAAGGGACGGATATTATTATTTGCCGTGGCGCTCCGGGGCGACTTAAAGATGATTGATGGCGCCATTTGAGTTACAGCTTACAGGCGAGGAAAACCCCTCACCATCATCGAAAAAAAAAACGGTAACGCAGTGTGATTTTTATAATCTCTATAAGGCCATTATAAACCTTGCACATTATATCCTGAGTGCTCGGTAAATAATAGCTAACTTCTCAGCCTAAGTTTATAATGTACTATTATTATTCATTCAGAGAACAATTATTTTTTTAATTAATTTATTTAATGTTGGCCTAGACTTTACGTTATGTTGGGGAATGGGGTGTTAATACACAGCGACCTAAAAGACCTATTGTGTCCCCTTCTGTTGCGAATGTACCAAGGAAATGTCTCAATGCCTATAACGACCCTTCCAATCCTATTTTCTCAAGGAAGTGTAGGATTTGAAGTAGCTTCAAGTTGGGTAAATCTCCCTTTTCTATTTGATATCCTCCTAGATATAGTACCCTTGGATTCTGGAATGCTGTTAGGATGTGAATGGAGGTTTCGTCCTCCTCCTCACATAATCTGAACTCACTATCCTCTACTACTTTCAGTTTACTTAGGTGTCCTTTTAGTCGGTAATGCCATGTTACAATACGTAGTCTGTTCTTGCTCAGGCAGATGCAGTCTTCCGATCTTTTCTGGTTATATTCACCCAGAAGTATCTTGACCTGTCTCAGCCCCAAGAGATTGTTCCAATTATCGGTTCTTCTGGCATACACTTTAAAAACAGCACTGTTATTTAGAACCCAATAGAATTAATATTTAATTTATTAAATTAAATAAAAATCCCTGGCACCAGCGGGATTCGATTAATATTATTATCACAGTGATTCGAAAAGTGTGCTTCGCGAAATATCGCAAAAGCTTCCTAGTTATTAACGCTTAACAAAAAGGAAAATATTTCAAAACTCGCCAAATGAAAACTGTCTAAAACTATGAGGCAAATCGTCGTTATCTTGTATCAGTAATAACTCTTCTATCTGCCAAACGTCACGATATTTGTTGAAACTTCTTGTGACGTTAATACTTGTAAGAACGAAGATAAGCAATGAAAGATTGCTCAAAAATGAAAAAATGGTGTACCAAAAGACAAAGTAATAAACTTCGGAACCGGTCGCAATTAAAATGTAGATATCTTGTGAGATTTAAAGGACATTTTCTTTCTTCACATCTTCATTGGGTACTCTCAACTCACACATGGTTACCTCATTGTCAATTAATTGTTTCTATTAAGATTAGTCATACTTTGATTTTAGAACGACATGGAAATCTCTGGAATCGAAAAAGTTTGGAAACCACTATATTAACGTTTTTATTTATATTATTTTCAAGAATTTGGTTACATACCTTTAAACTGTTATTTTTAATATCTTTAGGGGGGTGGGTGGCTCAGTGGTAGTCTCTGCCTGCAAATCCAAGGGTCCCAGGTTCGAATCCCGTTGGCCAGGATTAATTTGTTCATTTAATTATTTCTGATGCCTTGGTAGGATTCCCCACTTGACCATTTACTGTTGGGTTCTAATTAACAGTGCTGTTCCTAAAGTAGCGCAAGGAAACAGTAACAAGGTCTGTCTGTAGGGGTGCAGAAGTATTAGAGTACTACTACTCCTGCACTATGGAGTATTAGACTACTAGTACAATCCATAACCTATATAGAACACGAGGGCTAATGACCTTAGTTGTTGAAGCCAGACACCAATGAAAAAAAAAATATATATACATATCTAAACAACATTAAAAAAAAACTAAAACGTATACAATATGCTAAGCCATAGATCCTTCGAAATAAATATGAGATGCTTAATTATATTTGCACGTGACAGATAGATACACCTCCACCACTAGTGGGTACCTACTGTTGTGGGCGTCATTGTAGGAAACTTAACATATCAAATTCAATGAAAGAATGGTTTGTTTTTGTTAAAAGTATAGAAGTATGTAATGTAAATCCTTAAAAATAGAAACATCGATTCAGAGAAAAAATAGAGTTGGGCGATATTGTAGTTTTTCAAACATCCAGAACCATTACTGTAATTAATATTCAAACAAATGAGGTTGTTTTGTCAAATTATTAGGAAATTAAATATTTGCTAATATTTTCTGAAAAACATTCATGAAATCAATATATTATATATAACAGGTAATTTTTAACAGACTTCAAAAAAGGAGGTTCTCAATTCGTCGCAATATATATATATATATATATATATATATATATATATATATATATATATATATATATATATATATATATATATATATATATATATATTTTTTTTATGTATGTTCAGCGATAATTCTTTAACGCAGTGTCCTATTTTATTGATTCTTTTTTTGTTAGAAATGGGGTACTTCAGGGGTGGTCCCATATAAATTTGGTCAAAATCTAATAATTAAGTCCATGAAAAAATCCTCAAACTCTTCATTTTTCATGTATGTTTAGCGATAATGCTTTACTACTTTGTCAGATTTGATTCTTTTTTTGTTAGTAAGGGGGTACCTCAGGGATGGTCCCATATAAATTTGGTTAAGATGTGATGGCATCTGCACGTTTTTGAAGTCGGTTTTTTTAAATTTTTAATACTTGTATACATCCTTTGTGAATTAGGTGGTTGGTATTGTTAGTAAAACTGGTTTGAGGATTTTCTTTTCAAATATATTCAGGATAGAGCTTTAGATTAGTTGGTATTATTTTTTTCATTGGGAATTTCTTATGGTGGAAATTACTATTGGCTATTATTGGTAATTAAAGTTGATTGACAGTGCTATTCTTTAACTAATTTCAGTTTCTATTAGGCTCCCTTATTGTTGGAACTCTAGTTAGTTTCCTTAAGTACTTAATGATATGAGCTGTCTGATTTGTAATTTTACAAAAAAATATAATTGAATCAGTGTGTTCGAAAACCCTACAAGTCCAAAATTTGACTTTTTAAAGTAAGATAGCCATTTTGTTTAAAATTTGTCTCTTCATCGATTGAGCTTAAAAACTGTACTTAGATACTTATCCGTTAACGTAGTACAGTTGATTACACCCATTAGGCGAGAAACCATACATATTCGTGACGCGTTAAAAGGTTATTATTTTTCTCGGAAGGCTGATTTTGGACATGTACGGTTTCCGAATTCACCAATTCAATTATAAATAGAAGGGATTAACATCTTAAAACAAAACAATAAATGGTTATTTAGAAATGTAATCTGAAATAAAGAACAAATACAGTAAAATTACTTCAAATCTTGTTGAAAGCAGCAATATCAACTGATTGAACAAAATCTTCAAATTCTTGAATTTTTTCAACCATTTCATCTACTGAAACCTTAGCATCTTCAACAACACACATAATTTGCAGTTTGTTGATACCATATCCCACGGGCATGAGTTTTGAGGCACCCCATACCAATCCTTCCATTTCAATAGATCTAGTGACTTTTTCTAATTCTTTCATATCTGTTTCATCATCCCAAGGTTTAACATCAAGTACAATGCTGGATTTAGCAATCAATTCAGGCTTTTTAGATTTCTTTTCTGCATAAGCTTTGAGTCTTTCTTCTCTAATCTAAAAATTTTACAGTGTAAGAAATTATAAATATTTATTATTTCCAATTTTATTCAGGATTGAACACATGAGTGGATAAAAGGCAAATATAGATATTTTTTTAAATCAATGTTTTTGAAAAGGGAATGGCCTATGTACATAAAATTAATTCAATTTTGTTATATTTTCAAATTAATATGTTACCACCAGGGGATAAATGTTCTATGGTGAACTATTCAAATAAGAAAATTTAAACTCAAATATGTTCTTCAATTGTTTGCGATTAAAATAAAAACCAAATTATTGTACAGGATTTTCTTTCATATTGGAGTTACAACTTTTGCTCTTTAGATTAATGTATAGACATGGATAAGAATATCTATAGATAGATTGTGATTTCACTATGATTTTGTCACACAGGTCTAAGTTCTTGTCATTAAACCATCAAACAGTAAAAGGGCTTTCTCTAAATAGCTCCTGATTGATTTATATTATCATATTTAATAACAGAAAAATAATTTTGTAGCTAGGTATCATATACCTACTAGCTTTTTCACTTAAAAGTAAATTATTAAAATGAATAGTATAATAAATAATTAAAACAAAAAAAGTACCTAGGTAATCTATACATTTTTAGCACTTCAACATGTTTCACATTTCACAATTCTCAGGAAATGATTAAAATGGGTTTTAGTAGTAAAACTTGTTTTAAGTATTAATACTGATAAAATTAAGTATATGTTACCTTAGCTGCCTCTGCATCTTCTTCTTCATCAGACCCAAATAGATCGACATCATCATCATCTTCATCTTTAGCAGCAGCTGTGGTTGTAGTACCGGCTTTCAATGGACTAGCACCAGAAATTCCTAGTTGTTTTAGTTCATCTGACGAGAATGATTTGATATGATTATACCAACGTAAGGCGTGAGGCACGTTTGCTCCAGGGGTTTTGCTTATTTTATTATAGACGTCAATGTCACCTTGGCTTAACAAAAATCTGAAAATAAGTATCGTAACAGATAAAATAAAGTATTGCCGATTGAACAATTTAAAATTGACATACTTTCTACAAATCAAAATGCATTTTCGATTGAAATATACACGTGGAACGGCTGTTCAAAGCACGGATGAAAATAATAAATAAATACACCTACCCATTTACGTAACTTTTATCTTCAAGAAAGCTATTAAGTTCCTTGACTCCTTTTTCACTGCTAACATCTCCAAAAGCCATTTTTGTGTAATAATATTTCAAAAAATAAGATAATTAATGCCGACTGCTCAAATGTCGAGACGGAAAAGAACGAGGAGACGTGTGAAGTAGTTTCTTTTCATCTTCTGTTTTTGGCCTCTAAACACATAAAGCAGTAAATAGAATATTATGATTGTTAATCTTAAAAGAACAAGGCCAACAGTGTGGTCAGAACCGTACCCAGGAAGTTTCGGTTTCAACATTAAGGTACTTTTTTGATAATTTGATAATTACTATGTATTTAAAAACAACTGACATTTTTAGGCTGTGAACGTGTGTAAATTAACGTTTTAAATTTTACTTATTTATCTATGTCTAACCGTTTTCGACCGAGCGCTATAATAGAGTTAAAATTTATTATAACTAAAAAAAATTATAATGCAATCAATATTTTGTTTACGGATTGACATTTACATCCACTCTGGTAAATCTACGTTTTAGCTTTCATGTTACACATATATAATATTTTTTGAGACAAAATCAATTAAACTGCCTGTTTAAACTATAATTGTGAGCAAGCTATAACAGAAATTACCTTTAAAAAACGCCCATCAACAACTTACCTACAATTGTTGCTTAAAACTCTTTTTTTAATGGATTTATTATAAATAACGAGAATATAAAAATATAAATCATATTTTATTATTAATAAAAGTGACAATACTCTGGGAATGTATTATCGCTGTGGTACATGAATTATCATGACTGCGAAACAAACTTCTTAGGGCTCTATTCCGTAATTTATCGTTTATAGACGACATCGTTAAGCTAACGACAATTCAACCAACGACTTTTATAATGTTAATTTTGAAACTCTATTCAATAACAAAGTCGTTACGTTGTTTTTAGTTACCAAATTTAAACGATGATTTTTAGTAAGTTAGTATTATAATTTAGTGTTTTGTGATAAAAGAACGTACGTTGATGATTATATTTGACATTTTTGAGACGTAAAATAAAAATTCTACCAGTATATTCATCTTGTTTTCACAATATAATTGTTCTTAACTTACAACACGATCAGAGAAGTTTACTGCGGATGCGTACAATAAAAAAAGAAAACTAGGAAAAATCTAAATAATAATTGAAGATGTAACGAATCACTATTTGCTGTGTAATTTGCTGGTCGTATTGTAGGGTTTATTTAAATGAGTATGGTATATTAAAAAAATTGAGAACTGCCGCCTATTCCAAAAGAATACCAAAAACAACTCGAGAACAGTTGAATTTGAAAGAGAGATATCAAATTCGATACTGTCAATTGTGATATTGTAGAAAATCATTAAATAAATATAGTTTAAAAAACTAAACAACACGCTTTTAGAGCATATCAAACTAAAAAGTTAAAAATAATTTTTCAAATAAGCTTAAAACAATAATAAATGGAAAATACTAGTATTATTGTGAAAAAAGCGTCGGGCGCTCGATGTACGAGAAATATGGACAAAGTGCTTCGGAATTGTCGGTTTTCTTATTTTAATCTGACAGGTTAAAACGACTAAAACGACTAAACCGACAACTTCGGAAGCAGAAGCGGATGATTAAAACGCACCTAATATTTTGCTTGCTGCTGTCAGTGTCAGTAAATATTATTTTTGGAGTCACAGTTTATTGCTAAAGAATCAGTTAGCTCACTCGGACCAGTTGAAAGTTCCAAAATAACATCATACAAATTCAGGATGCGCAGAAGACTGCTATTTTATTAGAGGCGGTTATCATATATTGTATTATCCGAGTTGCGCAGTGTATAAACTGGAACATTGAGATCAAAAGTGCCGACGCAGAGTGAGCGAACTGATTCTTTAGCTATAAACTGTGGTAAAGGCATCAAAATGGCCGCCCCCTATGTTGGGTGTGTCGGACCTCTCTCTTGCACCGTATAGTAATCAAAGCAATATGTGGGCAACCTTGTGGGCCAGACATACTTTGATTTTCTTTTAGAACAGAAGTAAAAGTTGGAAATGCTTTTGCCAGTTCTCCCACTTTATACACATAAATTGACAGGTTGGCAGCGGATTTCACCGAAGTGGACGCGATACATTGGCGTACAAAATTATTTTATAGATGTTAATAACAATTTCGAATAAATAGTTTAATAAATTGTGAATAGCTGTTGAAATTTTGTAAAATTATAATTTGAATATAATACATGTTTAATAATTATTTATAATCCATAAATACATGCGATTGTCCGGTTCCGCTGATAACAATTTAAAATTACTTATTCTATGAAACGACACTGGCAGGTAAACATTACTGTGAAATTCTCGGAGCCGCCCGACGTGGTTTGACGTTTACCCCCTCTCTACCTACCAAAAGACTTTTCAACTTTTACTTTCTGTATACGCTGGATTTGACAGGACCAATGATATAACTTGTTATATAGATTGGTGATCATCAATGCTTTTCAAAATAAACGTAATCTTATGCTTTGAAGTAAAAATGTAGGAAATTATTTTTTACTATATTCAAAGGCGAAAATTGGTTTTAAAAGACTTTAAAAATAATTCCGATTAATAAGCAATTGCGAGGCAATATAGCCGCTCGGAATGCGACTAATTCGCTTTGAGCAATCTATTTAACTATTATAACGATTGTTTAATTTAAAAATAATTTATTTATAATTTATTTAAACTACGTACTAATTAATTTATTTATACTTATGCACTATTATAATTTATTTTTACAATTTATCTTTAATTGACCAAATTTATATTCAAACTTAACGTCTACCGACAAAGTAGCGCTATTTATATAAAATAAAGCCAGCTCTGCTCGAGTAGATTCTAGGCGGTCTAGAATCTCTGGAAATTCGTCCTCTATGAGTCAGCCAGTGCGAAAATATTTAACTGGTAACTTCTCGAAGGAGTGCGTTTGTCTCTGTCCTTTCGATATCGAAACATAGACGAAGTGGCGGCTTGTAACGGTGAAAGGACCAGGGTCGGCTTTAGTTGGTTGCACGACATTGTCTGCTTCTCAAGAGATAGTTCCTCCTGGAAATGTTACTGAAACTGCATGGTTTTATCTACAACTGGAGACCCTCTTTTACAATTTCCATTTGCATGGAAGTAACAAGGGATGGTTTTCGCTGAAGCCTGGACACTAGACGACTGACTGCACACCAGTATTTGAACCTCAGTATGTTGGAAGATTACTTTCACCATGTTTCTAATAATCCTCCAATTTAACTGGTTGCTCTCTATTTTCGGAATGGCTATTTTCTGTACATTGGACTCCATTACGTGCTCCTTCAGAATAAGTAATGCTGTTCATGCATCATGATAGGTGGATCGATTTTGGAAAGTGCATGTTCTTTGTTACCAAATGGAAAAGGTAATAATGCTATCATTCTCGAAGTTTCAATGCTTCTCCAAGTTTTGGTAACTGATCTTAAAGTTCTGGAATGCCAGACCTCGAGCGTCGTTGATGCTGGCAGAAATGCTATGAACCAGCGAGTAGTCTTGTTGTTGCTCGATTGTATCACCATATCTTGCTTTCCCGGTACCTCCATATGCACCCATAAATTCTTTAAAGACGAGGTCAAATATTTCTTGAACCTGGTTTACTTCTTTTTCCTCATCATGGTCACCCTCAAATACGGCTGGTTTTGGTTTACCATTCTGGATCTTGCTTTTACGGTAAATGACTTTATTAATTATTTTCTTAACAGACTTTCCCAAGACCTCTAGAGCTTCGGAGAATGTCCCTTCTGTCTTTTTGGGTTATGGAGCCAGACTTTCTTGGAACATCCTTTTGTGGCTTGGGCGTAGTGCTTGAAAACGTTGAACATGAAAAAGATACAATTAATTTTTCCTTCATTTTGTCCACAGCTTTCTTTCACTTACTATCACCTGATCCTGCGTATATGTTGTTGGATCGTCTTCGATAACATTTAAAATGTGTTCTTCTAAACGCACTTCATTTTTAATTTTTCATACTGAGCAATTTAAATTCACTAATTCAGATTTTAATTTCAATTAACCACAATATCCAACCCTTAAAACTAGAAGAAAACTATTCATCAGTTTATTCAAAAGAAAATTAATTATTTATAAATAAACTATTTTAACAAGGAAATGCTTTTAAATTTTGTGTATTTTATATTTTTTCGGCAATTATTTTCGGCCATTCGTATGGCGTAATAAGGACCATTTTATTTATTGTATAAATAGAAAGTACCTACAGTCATTTTCAATTTGACTGTCATAATATTGAATCCGAAGATTTTTAAAATAGTAAATACAATTCGTTCGTTTGTTTACGAACATCTATACATTTTCCTCAAATACAAGTACAGGTGAGGGATAATGTGGTCCATAAATCTTTTTTGCACATCATCGTATACCAGCATAAAGGATATTCTATATTTAGCATGCCAATTAGCTACATTTCAATCAGTTTAATCGTTATTCTTGCGTATGCGCGCAAAATATGAATCCCGTTTTCAGGTTTCAGCTTTCTTGCGGCTGGAGCTCAACTAAAATTTCCCATTCCAGGTTCCGAATTTGTAAATACTGAATATGCATTTTAGTGCAAACTTTTGATCTCGTACACAGTTTAGTTAGTAATTTTCTGTGATATATTTTTCACTTCTTTCTTATTTCTAAAAGTTTCGAATCTACTCAACAGGTAAGTTTCAGATCGATATTGTTTTGTGTGTACATTTTTGAATGCATTTATTATTATTGGATATAAGAATATATTTCATAGAAATTTTGTGTACCATTAATTGGGGTAACTTATTTGGAATAATAGAAAAAAAGTGGAAGGTGAGAAAATCTGAAAAAAGTAATGAACATTCTTCAATATTTTCTTTAGTTATATGTTATACGAAAAATGTTTAAAAACGAATATTATTTAAACAAATATTGTCATTATTTCCCCGCTCAGGTTGAGTAACATAGGACAGACAGCACCTAAATTGCACGTAAAATTATGTCTTGCATTTATTAATAGGTTGAGACAATATCAAAACATTTATTGGCCAGAATATACAAATTTAAACCTATTTTTTTTACTCATTCCTTTCCAGAAATATTTCCGTCCCTAAACCTTCTATCAGTGATTCCGTTTCTTTTCCATATATACAGGGTGATTCATACTAAATTGTACACAGAGCAACGGTAGATTGGCCAAATATGACCTAAATAAAATGTTAATAGTTAACAATTGCAGGGTGGTAAAGTTGAAATATTTTATTAATTATTTTGTAATATTACAGCACTCGCTTCACTGATATTAATCAAATTTTGGTAATTGGGGGTTTTTGAGGTGGAAAATATCACCATAAAGTTATTTTTGGCTTGCTCCACGATGGTGCGCTTCATATCCTAACAGATATGGCTTTTGGTTTATAATTTTTTGTCAAATATTTGACAATCGTCATATTCTGGTGTCTGGGTTCTATCATTGCTGTGTTGTACAATTCATTATGAATCACCCTAAAGGACTAATTTCCCAATATCTGTCATATGGAGAGAAATCCCCACTATCCCATATTTTTATTACATAAATGAAGTCTTTTTTCTTTAAAACTTAAGTCTTAATGGTCATTAGCCAGTTAATTACCAATTTTGTCTAAACTACTCTATTTTAACCCATTATACTTTTCGGCCGCTCCCGTATATTCAATGTTTGCCTTTTTACTTCCCGCACCGCTTAATCAACTTTGTCTTCCCCTTCTTGATAATATTTATAAGGCTTTCTCCCAACCTTCTTCTGCAGTTTTTTTTATCATTTTTAAGGTGCCCGAATTGGGTAGGAACATGCAAATTTGGGTCACGTACAAATGTATGTTCAAAAATTTATATTTGTCCTTTAATCTCTACCTTACCTGGTAGCGCATGTGTTAAATCGGCCCTAGTTAACCGTTGGGTAGTCGCAGACAAGAGATTATCATCATATCCAATAACGAAGCAGCCATCAAAGCGCTGAGCTACTACGTACTCAAAAATGGTCTAGAGATGCCTAGAAAAACTAAATGAGCTAGGCGAGGAACATACAGTTACTCTCACTTGGATTCTGGGGCATAACGACCAATAACGGGGTAAAGGGTAATGAGATTGCAGATAGTCTCGCAAGGAAATGGACCCAAACATCCTTTGTAGGACTTCTGCGGCATCAGAAGGAATACAATATTAGGAAAGATTAAAAAGATTTGGACAGTGGAAGAACCGATAATTGGAAAAATCTCTTGGGATTAAGCTAGGTTAAGATACCTCTGGGTGAATATAACTAGAAAAGGTCTGAATCATGTATCTGCCTGAGCAAGAACAGGCTACACATTGTAACAGGGATCCTTACCGAGCATTGCCGACTCAAAGGACACCTTAGTAAACTGAGAGTCGTAGAAGATGGCGAGTGCAGATGCTGTGAGGAGGATGAAACCTTTATTCACATTCTGACTGAATATGTAGCACTTCAGAATCAAAGGGCACACTATACTTTTACTTTTAGGAGCATACCAAATAGAAACCGATCCTAAACTTCCTTGAGAAGATAGGATTGGAAGAGTCGTTATAGGCATCGAGAATATTTCCTTGATGCATTAGCGACAGGAGGAGGCACAGTGTATTAATACCTCACACTTAACATAACATATACCTTGGGTAAACAAATTGAAGGATTTTATTGATTTTTAAATTCAGATTGGAAAGGATATACATTTGAAATTTATTAATAGAGGGCGAAGAAGACAACAGTTAATTATTAAATAAAAAATCCATCAGTATAAATTAGAATTTATTTAGGGAAAAATAAAAACACCCAACTAATTTACCTAACCTGTGTGGTCTAGAGCCATCGCGGGTTGAACTGCAAAAAATATACATAAAATGAAAAATAAATCAGTTGAACGCAATGGCATACTTTTTCGTTTTGTAGTCTGTGTGTAGAATATCCATATGGGTGTAGAAAAAATGATTGATCCAAAATAATGATGTCATGCTAAAAGTGATAAATAAGTAAATTTTTCTACACCCGTATTATAATAATGCACTTATATGCCCATAATCCGTTTCATAATGATACCCATTATGATACAGATTTTTCATTACGATACAGATTTTTAATCAATAGAAACCTACAATTTTTCAATCAAGCATGCTGTTTGACGTTTGTCCTAGGTTCCTATGTAATTATTTTAGTTGTCAAAACGTATTAAATTTTCGTAGGTAGCTAAACTTCGATAATTATAATATTAAAATGTCTGATATTAGCGATATAGAAGACTCCTCCACACATATCGGAGAAAGCAGAAAATACAGTACAAAATATTTTACCGCAAAAATCTAGGGAAATACCAATACCTGAAGTAATACCATTAATTACAATTTTGTAGAATTTTTTATAGAAATACGAGTAATTACTGTTATTGTGTTCAATACCAATATAAATATAATATTTATAGGTCTTGATTATTTATCGGGTGTAGAAAAAATAGCGTATGCAACTCTCATGTAATGGTTATTAAAACACTCGCATAAACCATACGAAACTCGCCTTTGGCTCGTTTCGTATCCCGGTTAATGCTCGTGTATTAATAACCATCATTACATGATCGTTGCATAATATACTATTGTGTATTATTAATGCGTTTGGTAAAGAAACAATCCTATTATTAAAAAATATGCGTACAAAATCATAGAAATTATAGAGATACCTAATGCGAACTAGCCCGTGATTTCTCATAATTATTTCTTAAACATAATTTATAATAGAATGAATGTACAAAATATTTTGTTTAATAGGGAATAAATGAATAATAAACTATAAAAAAAGATACGTTCCTACGGAAGTTTAGATTAGATTAACACCATATTACACAAGAATTATTGAGGAAATCATTCCACGAAGTTGATGTGACAAATTGATGTGGTTTTTTTGTTTAAAAAATCAAATAAGTTTCATTTTAATTAGCATTTCTTTTATGTTCGTATATCTCCGTTTGAGTTTTCAAAAATGTTATCAAAATTAAGGAAGTTTTAGCTATAAGTGTTTGTTAAGAGTTTGAGCGTAGATAATACAAAATATCGAATAAAATTTATTAATTTGACCGAAAGATAAAATCACGTTGATTTCTAGTGGATATGTAAGTCTAATCTTATTTTTTAGTCTTTCACTAATACTTAACTTTGCGAAAATTCGACAACAAATTAAAAACAGCAGATATTTTCTTTGTTATTATAGTAATAAATTTGATCCATCTATTATTATTAAATACTTTTATTGGAGATCATTTGTTTAGATTGGCTCAAATCATATCGTAATCAATTAGTCATGTTTTGATTGCTATTTGTAGTTGGATACAGACAAAAGGGGGTGAACAACATGTACTATCTTCCGGAGGTAGATCGCTCATGCGACCTCTGAAATTCAAAGTAAAGTTACTTATCGTTTTTTGTAGGCAATAAAATATATGCTTCTAGACGTCAAAAACAATAAAAAAAAATCCCTTTGCAAGCATTTTTTGTCGTCCAATTCTGCTATTTCCGGTGTAGGGATGTCATCAACACGACCGGATATTTACGTTTTTTAACGCATTTCGGGATATAGTACATGTTATTCACTCCCTCCCATGTACCCAACAACAAGTAGCGAGCAAAATAATTACATAAAAAATTATAGATGTTTGTTTTCAGGAACATGTCTGCTTTTCGATTAAGTTTATACTGAAAGCTAATTTTGTACTTTCCTACGGAAATTGATCAAAAATTAGGTTTTTAAAATAATTACATAAAAAAAGTTTGCTTTCAAGAACATGTCTGATATCTGATATTCTACTTAGTTTATTTTGAAAGCTAATTCTGTACTTTCCAAAGGAAATTGATGAAAAATAAGGTTGGGATTTATTTTTTCCGCGAGTTACACTGTGTTACTGAACAGTAATACTTAATTTGTTATTTCACTCATTGTATTTTAATATAATAATTTACTTTGAGGACTTTGGAAACTTATTTTAGTTTAAAAGGAATATAAATTAAAACGAGAAAAATGTTCGGAAACTGTTTTGTGTGTAAATAACCAGAAATGTACTCAAGGCACATACTTTGATTTTCTTTACTATACGGCGCAAGAGTGTGGTCCGACACGCCCAACATAGGGCGCGGCCATTTTGAACCCTGAGACACAGTTTACAGCTAAAGAATCAGATCGCTCACTCTGCGTCGGCACTTTGGATCTCAATGTTTCAGTTTATACACTGTGCAACTCGGATAATACAATATATGATAACGACCTATAATAAAACAGCACTCTTCTGTGTATCCTGAATTTGTATCCCTGGAGTGGATGTTATTTTGGAACTTTTAACTGGTCCGAGTGAGCTAACTGATTCTTTGGCAGTAAACTGTGACTTCAAAAATAATATTCACTGACACTGACAGCAGCAAGCAAAATATCAGGTGCGTTTTAGTCATCCGCTTCTGCTTCCGGAAATGTCGGTTTAGTCGTTTTAACCTGTCAGATTAAAACAAGAAAACCGACAATTCCCAAGCAGAAGCGGATAATTAAAACGCACCTATTAAAAATATTGCGCCAAGATGTAGGCAACACGTAATAAGGGTTTAAAATGGCGGAGTTTTCTATCTCCTTTTAAAAGGCACTCAGAAAGCTGCGCAGTGCGACCATTCTCCGTATAGTAAAAGAAAATCAAAGTATGTGACTCAAGGCTAAACTTATGTACGAATTAGTAGTTCCGTTTTAACTCGCTTATTTTTAGATCCATAGATATATATTTATATAGAATAATTCATAATTATGGACAAAGGTCCATTTATGTCATTAAACTGATTATGATATCCCCAGATTATTGGTCTATGGATAATATAAATTTGTTTAAGAGGTTCCCAAACAAGCTTTTAGGGAAACTAATTTTTTGATGATTTCCTTTAAAAATGGATTTTTAATAAAATTGGTGCTTTGTCTTAAATCAAATACTAAATTACCTAAATTTAAAAATAATTGCTTTATACGAGAGAAATCAAAAATGCAAGGTTGCCATATCATAACCACACCTAAACTGTCAAAACCCACTGGCAGCCATTCTTTTTGGAACGCGTAATAAAAACATGAATGATCAATCTATATAACGATCTATACCATTGACCCTATCAAACCACCAGACCCCACATACTTTGATGTGCCAGACCCACAGTGTTGGCATATTATAACCTATCATGTGCCTGTCAGTGGCCTGTCATTTCTAACGGGAAGCTATTTTTGAAATTCCTAATTGTCATAATTTGAAATAAAGGTAGTCATTATTAAATCTATTCGGTATTTTAAACCAAAATGAAGACTAATCTTAATATTTTAGATGAACATCTAATATTCAAACCTATTTCCTTTAATATTTAAACAATAATTAAATTATTTAAAATATATTAATTAGCCCGTTTTCAATCTGCATGAAAGTAGGCAACACATTATACACATAAACCATGCTGCGCTAGCGGCGACTGTCAAATAATTAGTAAAGGATACGAAGTAAGGTCGACCTTCGCCTATCTGCTTACCGGATGAAAAGTATTTTTTATTAAATGAAATATGTTAATAAATATACCTACCTCAAATGGGTTACCTAAAAAAAATTCTGTCAAGGTTATCTTTACTTTCCTTTCTGTATTCAGATAAGGAAAATATAGAAATCATGATAAAAGTTGCTTGTGATGTTATTCTTAAAATAAACCGTATTCAAGATATTTGGAAAAGTAAAAATTTCGAATTTTAAAGATAACTCCCAAGAATCTGGGGGATACTTTATAGGGTGTCGTTTTTTTTACTTTCAGAAAATAAATGGTCTTGACAGTATTTTCTTGGGTAATCCATTTGCAGTATATTTATATTTTACTATCGGATCCGACAGACGTTGTCCTGTCTTAACTATAAATATTGATTTCGAATTGGTATAATTAACTAAAAAAATATTTCAGAAACAAAGTATTTATTATTTTAATGCAAACACAACAAAAAAAGAATTAGCGAAATCGGTTCAGCCGTTCACGCGTTATACGCTTTCATCCGGTGAGCAGATGGGCAAAGGTAGACCTTACTTTATAAAATGGAAGCGTCAAATTGTCGATTCGAGCTTACGTTTCAATTTAAAATATAGTATGATATAAGAATCGCCCGCTTACCTACCTCGCCGCGTGCATTTACCTTCGCCGCTTCACTATATTTGTATCCTTAGACTAAAACATTGTGATAAAGTTTGAATTTGGTAGGAGCGGAAAGCTATTTACCGCTTACTAAAAATTGTCGACAACTTTTTATCACAAGCGGCAAAGTAGAACTTATCCGCTATATGAAGGAAAATATTTTAAAATAACATTCTATGAGGTCCATTCTGTAACAATTCCTTTATATTTAACGGCCTTTAAAAATATTGGCGGCCTTTAAAAACATTTTCGTATTCGTTAATTTACTTCTGTCATTATTTAAACAGATTTCTTTAAGGAGGTCCTTTCGCCACCAATGTTAAATAAAAAATATTAGATTATGACTAAAATTAATTTTTTTCTAATAGTAGATGTCCTTATTTATCAAATTTTTGAGAATTTTTTTTTTAAATGTGTGTGTTTGTACAGTGTCTTATGAGAAAGACTTCAACAACAATTTTCGAATTATAATTAATTTTACTATTATTTATTGATGATGGAGTAGAAAAAACCTAAAAATAAGGTTTTTGAAATATTTAGGTTTTGTTTTTTGCAATAAAATATATAGGTTATCGTGGAATTTATTGAGAAATTACTATTAAAAAATCACAAAAAATTTTCAACTAGGTTACTTGAAAATTTTTTGTGATTTTTTAATATTAATTTCTCAATAAGTTCCACGGTTTACTATATATATTTTATTGTATAAAACAAAATCTAAATATTTCAAAAACCTTACTTTTAGTTTTTTTCTACTCCATCTAATCAATAAATAATAGTATAATTCGAGAATTGTTGTTGAGGACTTACTTTCTCGTGAGGCACTGTACAAATACTCACATTAAAAAAAAAAATTCTCAAAAATTTGCAAGGTAAGGTATAGTTAAAAATTCAGTATTAGATAAATAAGGACTTCAACTATTAGACAAAAATTAATTTTAGTCATAATCTAATAACTTTTTTTTTAACATTTGAGGCGAGAGGTGTGGCGAAAGGACCTCCTTAAAATAGTCCTCTAATGTATTTTATAGATCCGTTTAAATAATGACAGAAGTAAAGAAGCAAATATTTTTAAAGGCCGTTAAATATAAAGGAATTGTTACAGAATAGACCCCTATCTCTCTTAATCAAAAGTATGATGGATACCACAAATTATTAAAAGCACTCTTTCAATTAAGAATTTCTTCTTCTACTTTTGTACCAGTGATGGAAGAAGCCAACATTCTGCATTATTTTTTGCAATAGCAGATGTCATCAGATCAACCACAATAGCTGCAGTCTACTTAATTATTATTGAGTGGTGTCACTAGCTTTTTGGGCTATAGAATACAAAAACATATATAGTCCTAAAACCTCGAGACATCATTTAATATAAACTACAACTAGAGATGGAACCTCCCAACAACAAACTTCTAACTGCTATCGTTGGTATTATATATTAAGGAATTAAAACAAACACATTATTACAATACTTAGTTTCATCGATCCACTCATTGAATAAATTACATATTTTCTAGATGCCGGACAATCTTCTACTTCCCGTGAACTACATCGTAATGGCAGAAGCCGAACCCGACCTAAGTACCTTCGAAAACAAAACTGGCCTTGCCGAAGACATGAAGTTTTTGGCATCCATGCCAGAACTTTGTGACGTCACCTTCCTTGTAGGAGATACCCGAGAACCCGTTTGTGCTGTAAAAGCTGTGTTAGCTGCCCGATCCAGAGTTTTCCACAAAATGTTATACCAGGTAAAATATATTTACTGGTTTAAACAACAATTATTCATCTTCAATTGTGATCAACACATTTTAAAAAACTAATTTGAAGTTTTCGTTAGTATATTAAAAATATGTAATAATTATTACAGATTGTGTTGAAATGGTTGTAGCTTTTAAACACGTTGGAGCGCTAATTTGTAATAGCTGCGCGTTACTTTGCAATAAAATGTTAATTTCAAAACATAAGAAATTTTGACTAGCTCATAGTAATTTAACACCAAACATTACTTGCCTTTATCAAATTCAAAAAAGAAATGAGCACATGGACCATATAGTTTTCTCAGTCGTGAATCCGGCTTTTCAAATAGACACTTTTGGGGATAATAGTTTTCTGGGAGAGAAGGGCGCCTATAATTCTCTTTTTTTATTTTTAGAAAGCTAGTGGGAATTATAAACTCTAGCTTTATCAAAAGAAAATTAATTAAAACTTATATAAAATTTAGGTAAAAGAGAATTGTTGTAAAAAAAGATTCAACATTTATATTTATAAAAACGAATTAGTTTATTCAGTAAAAAACTAGTGAAAATTCTAAGAAACAAATAAATATTGAACTTAAGCAGGTAAATTTAAATTTTATATCTCTAATATTAAAATTAGCCACATATCTAGTTACCACTATATTGGTTTGGGTGACAACTTCATTATGATACAGTCTAATTTCTGTAATTCTGCTACTCGAGCACGAACACCAAATCTCGTTCTGTCTATGTTTCTGCTTTCAGGAAACTGCTTTAGTTATCTCCAATGTCAAAGATGGAAGATGACTTTGAACTTTAAGTATAAATGCTAATGCTAGTTCTATCTGCTTCTATTTGCTTTCTAAACAAAAATTAAATTCTGTTTTTCACGTGGCTCTTGTATGAGATATAAATTAAATTTTAAACAACTACTTCTTAAAATTAAATCAAGATAACAATAAAAACTAATTACTATAAACAATGTGTAATTCCAGCGACCAAAATAAATTATAAAAGCATAGTTAATAAATTTAACTTGACTTTCAAAAAAATAAACTTATAACTAACAACAGGTAGAAATATAATTTCTACTGAGATATTTTTAATAACGACTGTATATATATTTTTTTTTACTCACCGCTTGTACAGCCAGACACTAGTAGATACTACAAAATAATATCGGAAAATAAAATTTTAAGACCTGATGTGGATATCGTCTGCTTTACTGTACTACCACTTCACGAAATTTCCCTTTCTTAGGAATATTCAATTCAAATTAATCGAATACTATTTGATACAGGATGTCAAACAAAATAACATTTTTAAATGAAATTCTAAAATGTTACAATGTGAAGTAAAATTAAAGTTTAATTTATTATATTTTGTTTTTTTTTTTAGGCTCCCAGTCCCCAACGCAGAAAGGATCCTCCACCTAGGGAAAATAAACTACGTCTGTTTTTGAAAAGATCTTCAGAACCCCTACTCAATTTACAAAACGCAACACAGCAGGTATGTATATAATTATTATTTAACTTTATTACTTTCTGCAACCAATAATATAAAAATAATGAAAATATGGAACCTAAAGAATTTAATCATCTTTTCAAAATGTGTACATATCGAACAATAAGTATGTTTAGTTCCAGGAATTTTAACTTTTAAAATACATATAGTGAATAATTCTAGTGTAGTGGAACATTTTGAATTAGAGAGTCCTTTCTAGTTAATAAAAATCACTAAAGACTGAAGATTTATTCACTATTAACATGTTCAAGATGCATTTACAAACTTGGTACAACTAATCTATTATTCTGTTGAATTTGTAAAAAACATGTTGGCGTGAGGTATCTATAAAAAAATTAACTGCTCAAACCAAGTGATTGAAATACAATGCATTTTTCCTCTTGTCTGGTGGCGTGGATTTTCTGTGATTTCTCATTTAGCGCCCAGTGACAGTCACGAGACTGCAACGACCCTTTTGCTCTTTGTCTCGAAGTAAGATGAAGTAATATAGTAGTTGCAATTTTTATACGAGTAGGTAAACATGGCCAAGTTATTGTTGATGTTGTTGATAATGGCAGCGTTTCACAAACTAGATGTGTGAATTGACTCCATAGACAAAGGTAAATCTAATGAAATGGAATGAAATTTCAAATATTCGCTTCTTGTGAATTTTTAACAGACTTCAAAAAAGGAGAAGGTTCTCAATTCGTCGTAATATTTTTTTTATGTATGTTCAGCGATAATTCGTTAACACGGTGTCCAATTTCAATGATTCTTTTTTGTTGGAAAGGGGATACTTTAGGAGTTGTCCGATATTAATTTGGTCAAAATCTAATAATTGGGTCCTTTAGAAAATCCTCAAATCTTTCATTTTTAATGTATGTTTAGCGGTAATTCTTTACCACCTTGTCCAATTTCTATAATTCTTTTTTTGTTAGTAAAGGAGTACCTCAGAGGTGGTCCTCTATAAATTTGATCAAGATGTGGTGATGGCATCTGCACGATTTTGAAGTGGCTTTTTTAAAATTACTTTTATAACTTGTTCAAGTTTTCCTTTTTCACTGCCTGTTGTTTTGCTATTCATTGCGCCTTCTGGTGGTAGCTTTATTAAGTAGGTACTCTTAGTAGGACGCTCATAGTGCTAATTCTATGTATCAAATATACTATTCCACAGGTATTTGCCTAGCGGGAGATTGGTCTTTAATTTTGAATTTTAGGATGTTTTTCATTGATTTCGGACCAATTGGACAAGCTTCACGTAGAGTAAGTGTATATGTAGATGTAGAACAATACAATTATGTTACTCGTATAATCGTGATATATAAAAGTATAGTAATATCATGTTGTAAATACCGGATTCGGGATAATATTTAGTTTAATAAGCAAAGAATAATACGTATTTCCTACGAGTATCACATTATGAATGGGAAATTTGCATTCCTTGCGAGTTGAACACTAAACTTTGTATACGCCAATAACACCAAAAAATATGAATTCATAGATGCACTTGTCAGTCACTAACACATTTGTATGCTTTATCATATTCTACTTTACATATTTCTGCATGGTATTAAGTTGGCGCATGTCAGGTTTGCAGATTCTTCTTTCACTGTTACCCTAACTATTTAGTTTTTATAATTTATAAAATTAAAATGACAGCTTCCCTGTAGATAGTTAATCAATGATTGATATTGATTTTGAAATTGCGTCACAAATGTACCTCATTTCCTAATCAAAAAGAGTGTAGTTTTATATTATAGGCGTAAATAGTGATTTGTATAACAAGAGTGGATATGATAGCCATATCGCACGAAGACGCAGTTTGAACACGACGCGGAGTGCAATACGTACACTCTACTCGACTTACACATTATATTTTTCTACTAAGTATACAATAACTAAAGTAGGCTAAGACACATACGTCATGTCCGTGATAATTACCCCCTACCACATACTTTGATTACTATACGGTGCAAGAGAGAGGTCCGACACGCTAAACATAGGGCGCGGCTATTTTGATTCCTATGCCACACTTTATAGCTAAAGAATCAGATCGCTCACTCTGCGACGGCACTTTTGATCACAATGTTCCAGTTTATACACTGCGCAACTCGGATAATACAATATTGGTGCGTTTGATTTGATCATCGGAGATCTCCGAGCGCTTCAAAAGTGTTTGAATTGACACTCCGAGAGATCCCTAAAGTGTTTGTTTCGCTTTGGAGCGAGAACATAGAGCGAGCTCGATGTTCTCAGAGCAGAAAGATCGAGAAGAGGGAGAAATTTGTCTTTGTCTCTACCTATCTCTTTTTAATTAACTTACAAACAAATTTGAATCTTAAAATTAAAGACCAGACAAGAAGTCAACAAATTACTTAGCCGCTTTTGTCTTATAGCTAAAATTATTCATCATAAAAAAACACAAAATGTGTGTTTGGAAAATACATTTTTTCTGTCCAGATCTAATCACCAGTAATCACAGTCATGGAGTAGAAGAGCGAAGCGGGCATTTGTGGTAAATGCTGCATTTCAGGGCCATTACCCCTTATTATTAAAAGTTTTTCCATTTTCTTTACTTTTTGCTCACTATTTTAACATACAAACCAGAAACAAGAATCACAAAAAAGCGAGGTTATGTTTTTTACTCTGTTTTATTTGATTTGATTCAATGCTCTATTGTGACGTCATCACTTCTCGGTCTCCTCGACGCTCGCTCGATCGAGTTTCAAATCAAACGCCCCGTATATGACATAATAAAACAGCAGTCTTCTGCGTATCCTGAATTTGTATCCCTGGAGTGGATGTTATTTTGGAACTTTCAACTGGTCCGAGTGAGCTAACTGATTCTTTAGTAATAAACTGTGACTCCAAAAATAATATTCACTGACACCACATACTTTATTTTTCTTTTACTATACGGAGAATAGTCGCACTGCGCAGCTTTCTGAGTGCCTTTTAAAAGGAGATAGAAAACTCCGCCATTTTGATCCCTTATTACTTGTTGCCTACATCTTGGCGCAATATTTTTAATAGGTGCGTTTTAATCATCCGCTTCTGCTTCGGAATTGTCGGTTTTCTTGTTTTAATCTGACAGGTTAAAACGACTGAACCGACAATTCCGGAAGCAGAAGCGGATAATTAAAACGCACCTGATATTTTGCTTGCTGCTGTCAGTGAATATTATTTTTGGAGTCACAGTTTATTGCTAAAGAATCAGTTAGCTCACTCGGACCAGTTGAAAGTTACAAAATAACATCCACTCCAGGGATACAAATTCAGGATACGCAGAAGACTGCTGTTTTATTATAGTCGGTTGTCATATATTGTATTATCTGAGTTGCGCAATGTATAAACTGGAACATTGAGATCAAAAGTGCCGACGCAGAGTGAGCGATCTGATCACATACTTTGATTACTATACGAGGCAAGAGAGAGGTCCGACACGCCCAACATAGGGCGCGGCCATTTTGAACCCTGCGACACAGTTTACAGCTAAAGAATCAGATCGCTCACTCTGCGTCGGCACTTTGGATCTCAATGTTTCAGTTTATACACTGTGCAACTCGGATAATACAATATATGATAACCGCCTATAATAAAACAGCAGTCTTATGCGTATCCTGAATTTGTATCCCTGGAGTGGATGTTATTTTGGAACTTTCAACTGGTCCGAGTGAGCTAACTGATTCTTTAGCAATAAACTGTGACTTCAAAAATAATATTCACTGACACTGACAGCAGCAAGCAAAATATCAGGTGCGTTTTAATCATCCGCTTCTGCTTCCGGAATTGTCGGTTTAGTCGTTTTAACCTGTCAGATTAAAACAAGAAAACTGACAATTCCGAAGCAGAAGCGGATGATTAAAACGCACCTATTAAAAATATTGCGCCAAGATGTAGGCAACACGTAATAAGGGTTCAAAATGGCGGAGTTTTCTATCTCCTTTTAAAAGGCACTCAGAAAGCTGCGCAGTGCGACCATTCTCCGTATAGTAAAAGAAAATCAAAGTATGTGGATCTGATTCTTTAGCTATAAACTGTGTCATAGGAATCAAAATGGCCGCGCCCTATGTTGGGTGTGTCGGACCTCTCTCTTGCCCCGTATAGTAATCAAAGTATGTGACTGACACTGACAGCAGCAAGCAAAATATCAGGTGCGTTTTAATCATCCGCTTCTGCTTCCGTAATTGTCGGTTTAGTCGTTTTAACCTGTCAGATTGAAACAAGAAAACCGACAATTCCGAAGCATAAGCGGATGATTAAAACGCACCTATTAAAAATATTGCGCCAAGATGTAGGCAACACATAATAAGGGATCAAAATGGCGGAGTTTTCTATCTCCTTTTAAAAGGAACTCAGAAAGCTGCGCAGTTCGACCATTCTACGTATAGTAAAAGAAAATCAAAGTATGTGGATTTAAATGCAAACTCATTTATAAAAGAAGAATCATACACTCAGACATGCCAACCTTAGATAATTATTTGTAGATTATTCACAAAATCAAAGTATGTGAGATCATTCCATATAAAGAGTGATCCACAAACAAATGTTTTTAAATTAGATTATGACTGATAAATACAGAAATACGAGTCATGATAGTGATAACTACGGAAGGCAATGAATTAAATCCAAACCGATATTTAAACAAAAAAATAATTCTACGCTTCAAATTTCTACAAGGCCTACTTTAAAAATAATTTTTGTGGGTCGCTGTATACCATATATGTAAAAAATAATACCTATTACATTTATAAAAACTTCGTCCATTACGTTCGACCACTAAATTCTTCTAAAACTGCTAGTGATTTAGTCACCATTGTGGAATCATGCATATCTCGTCCATTGTGGGATCATTTAATTTGTAGATCCCATCATTTCTATTTAATATTCTTCCATTATAAATAAATGTTATGGTTTATATGTAATATATATTTGGGTAGAAAAAACAGATGTATATAAAAATAAAAATGTTAGGTCTGAAATATTTATATCAATAATGGAATCGTTTGCAACCAGGTTGCTAACGAGATGTGCTTAATCTTTTGTCTTTACCATGTAATAGAAAATTATCAAAGGATGAAGGCTGTTTGACGTATATGACGCAATGCAAGTATTAAGAAGATATGTAGTGCATGTAATTCACTAAAATTCATTTTCGTATTAGATCCTTGTCTGACATCACAAAGTAGTCATTCCCTAATTATTTTAATATAATCATGTGTGCCATGAAATGTCAAACAATAAATAAATATCTTGAAAAAAACTGTAATTTTAATTTTATGAATTATAAAAAATTATTAAAAATGGCTAGTAGCGTGTTATAGCTATAGAAAAAGTATAGTGTTCAACTCACAAGAAATGTTTCTAATTCTATGATTTATACATACTCGTAGGAAATAAGCACTATTCCATGCTCGTTAAGATATATACTTTTAAGATTAGGTACATTAGTCAAAACATAAAAGAAGATTTTGGTTATTTCTTAAACTGGTCGAACATATTTTAAACGACTACACATCATGTTTCGTTTATGATTTGGTAAAAAATAAAATTGGTTGCAGAAAGTATGTACAAATTTAAATAGTTTAGAGTAATGAGTATTTGATGATGTATGCTTTATAATTAGAGAGGCTTCACCCAGCAGCTGGCTCCTATCCAAGAGGTAAACACAAGAATATCCTCTCCAAAAAACTTCTATCCATATATTGCCTGCAGTAGGTCACATCTCATTTTCAGTTTGAGAACTAGAATTTGCTATAGAAATGTAAAAAGTACCATAAAGTTCTTAATCCAATCTCAATATCCTATTCTATTATAATAAGTTTGTTTATTCTAATAAGTAGGATAAAATGAAAAAACAGAACGAATCAACATATCAGGTTCACTTTAGCGTTTAGATATCTGTATTTCAGTATTTCAGAAATTAAAAATAAGTTTGAGAACAAGAATTTGCTATAGAAATGTAAGAAGTATAATATTGTTCCTAATCCAATCTCAATATCAGAAGAATAGACATGTATTTCTATTTAAATACCAACTTTTATGGTATATAGACTTTTCTCCACAATGAATGAAGATTCTTAGTTGCCCATGTTCGATAATTTTGACTGTTGAAATATTCTGATAAGTGAAACCATGCTTCACTAGTAGAAAAAGTTCTACCCAATAATTTAATTGCTCATTGAACCATCACCAAGAACAATTTTTGCAGTACTGGAAATAACTTTTAATTTGCACAAGAAATGTTAAAAATAAAACACAGGATCTACTTGTACTCTATTTTAAAAACTGTTAAAAATGTTGTCCGTTATACTGTTAATAGTAAAAAAGTCTGTTTCCGAACTCTTCTCTAATATTTCGGAAAATTTCACCGGGAATTGACTGTTATAATTCTCCTTCAATAATCAGCAGGTTGTGTTTCATAAACAACGCATTTAAGGTGTCTCCAAAGAAAAAAGTCTTAGTGAGTTAAATAAGGTGATCTTGGAGACTATTCAATTGCTCCCCTTCTGCCAATCTAACTGTCTGGAAATCTCTCGTTTATCCACTGTCGGACCGGAAGAAAGAAATGAGGTGTAGGACCGTCCTGCTGGAAATGTAACAGATCCTTCTGTAAAACTAAATTACCTTCTGCTACAGTTTGAGTTTTTAACTCGTAAGTTATAAGAGGATCAATACTCTTTTCATGCATATTAAGGTTTCCTTCAATAAATAAAGGACCAATAATTGCATTTCCAAGAATACCACACCAAACATTAACTTTTTGCGGACGTTGTGCATGCCCATCTCGAATAATATGCGGGTGTTCGTCACATCAGTACCGACAATTTTGTTTAATAATATTGTTATTAAGAAAAAAATGAAGATTCATCGCTGAAAATATAAATAGCAAAAAACACAAGCCATCTGTGTAATTTCAACGATAAGAATTAAAAAACCACCATTTGATAAATGCAGTCTAATTGCCATCGAAATTTTACTATTAGATTACTTTTAAATGTAAAAGTTTGTTGCCACCTAATCTTCTAACCAATTCTGATAAAAGGATATCCAATACAATAATTATTGTGTAAATACTAACATGAAAACCGAGAATCTCAGTGCAGGCACGTTCCAACTTCTGTAACTTTGAAACGCAATTTTTTAGAACCTGCTGGCTAGAAGATAATAAATTAGGATACCATTGGAAAGAGAATTAAACGCCCTTTACAATGATGTGCCACTTGATCCCCTTTCTCATGTAATATTTTAAGTGTAACATCTACCCCTCCTAGGAGTGTTAAAAGTAATCATTGCAAGTGTCCCCCTTGAAAAGAACATTTTTCATATATTATGTACTGGAAGGAAGAAATTCAGGGTGGGAAGTTTTCGGTGTGTCACCCTGTATAATATTTTATAAGAGATTTGTAACATGTTTGCAGGGTTCCTTGGCTTCAGCTGGAATTATTAAGTTTGCATTAATTGGCAAACTTCTGCATTCAATAGACAATATAAAAATACTTTTTTAGCTTTTCAAAATCACAAATAGCTATGAAGGATATTTAGTAAAGAGTTGAAAGTTTGGATTAGATCACCATAGAAACATTTTTTTAGTAACGATTATGGAAGTTTGATTACTGAAATTGAGATGTTAACGCACATAAACTTTATGAGATGCTTTTCACTATTTACTTACCTCAATCATACCTTCTTTCGACATTCGTAGTCAATACTTTTAAACTTAGAAGTAGCTATTATTAGACAGTGGCGTAGTGAGGGTTTCCGAAAGCCCCATTGTTATGGGGCTCCCTCCACTATAATAGAGACCAAGAACAAAATCGGGTTGTGGTTTGTTGGAAATGATAATGATAAATAAATGTCACTAATAAAACTAAAACAAATGCTCATTTATTATGAAAAAATAAAATAAATCAAAAAACCGTTATTTTCAATGTTTGTGCCTATTTGCGCCTTCACTTCTCGTTCCTCGGGAATCACTTTGAAAGATTTTCCAAGTTTCAGAAGTAGTTTTACATTGATGTGTTGCTTTTCTTGAACACATATACATATCGTTGCCAATATCACGAAGTGACGTAACTCGATTTTCACAACTTTACAAGAAAGTTTTAAAGTTTTTTTTTATAAAGTTGCGTGAACTTTTCAGATACTTCAGTTAGATAAGTGCTATTTTAATAAATGTAATGAATTGAAATGCACAATTTCGTGAAATTGTAGAGCATATTTTTTTTACATAATATGTTGTGACATCTCAATTTTCAATATTTTTAATATACGTCACTTCGTGATATTGACGACGACATTTTCGGTGGAACGCAGATGCAAGGTAGAGCTCGATTTTTTTGTGAACAGCACATTTCGTCATAGCTATGCCACAGTTCGCGTAGTACGTCATAACTTTGTGGAGCTTTAGTTGATGGCGCTGGGCTGAAATATGCTGCGGTAGGGGTACCTGATATCTTAGCAGTAGCGTGTGTACATTAATAAAATATTTTAAATCGAACATATTAATAAGTTAATGTTAAATTTTAACTATTCGTTAGTTAAATTGCTGATGAACTTTAAATTAATAAAACAACTAAAAGTTTAAATAAATAATATATTTTAATTTAATTTGTATAATTTTAAACATTTTCATTATCTTCATCATCTTCCAAGTCGGAAATATCGGATTCCATTCCTCCGGCTTTATGGTTCGGAATTTTTTTCTTGCCAACTTTTCAACATTATCCAACTTGAATGTTTTGTTATGTTGACCCACCCAATTTTTTACTGTGGCCCATATTTTTTCTATGGGATTTAATTCGGGATGACATGGAGGTAATCGTAGAACTTTGTGTCCATGTTCTTCGAGAAGATCATCTAAAAGAAATTTCGGTGGAGGTCTGTGAACTTTTATTAATGTGTAGGTACAGTTCTGGTTTGGTCATTTTAGCATCATGTGGTATATTGTTTTTAACGAGCCAGTTAATTAAATCTGCTTTTTTGGTCTGCGTTGTAATCGATTTTTCAGATTTTATATTATGATAACTTGCATTATCGATTACAAGTACAGACCTTGGAGGAAGATTTGGTATAACTAACTGCCTTCTAACCCATTGGGAAAAATTATTCCAGTTCATTTCATCATGATAATCTTCTGTCTTTTTCCCTGAAAAAAAGTAAAAAAGAATTTATTATCTATAATGCAAGTATATTTTTCATAATTATTTTTGTATGATACTTAAACTTACAAAAAACTCTTTTAAATGAAATAATTGGTTAGTTAAGCAAAAATTATTAGGAATTTTAAATCACTTAAAAAATAATCTGTTTTTAGAAGAAATATTTCTTCAAGATGATAAGACTTATTATAATAATCCTAAGAAAAAGTTATTACTAAAAACTTTCCCTTGTATAACAATAAAGGAAAAAGTACTACAGGTAAAGATCTTTTAACTAAACTGAAGATAATAAAATAAACTATTACATTAAGTACTTAAATTTCTTGTTAATTAGATACTTTAACAGTTTAAATTAAATTTAAGCTGATCATAACTTTCGATTGTTAAACATCATGGATATTTATGAAGTAGGTAAAGACGCAAATAATAAATAATTTTCTATAAAAAATAGATTATTACCTGAAGTAAATATCAACAGTCCATTTTCTACAAAACCATCCTTACTCCCTGCATGCAACATTATGAGCCTTTTCCCCTTGCTCATTGGAGTTTTGAATTTGCCTTTGCCATCGGTCCATCCTTTCGAATGTGTATGACTACTATGTAAATAGGTCTCATCATAATAATAAATAGTTCTGCCCTCTTGCCGATAATGTATTAAGGATTTTAAATAATTTGTCCTCTTATTCCTAATGTCGTAGGATTCCAACAGAACAGATATGTTGTCTTCATTTTTTTCCACCTGAAAAAAATAAACATTGTAATTTTATACGTACAAAAATTGACTATGAGAAATTAATTATTTTGGTATCATTTAATTTTGATTTTTTTAGATAACGTTATTTA